TAAGAAAATAAAAATATTAGCTGGGCATAGTGGCACACACCTATAGTCCCAGCTACTTGGGAGGCTGAGGTAGGAGGATTGCCTGAGTCCAGATTGAGGCTGCAGTGAGCTGTGATCACACCACTGCACTACAGCCTGGGCAATAGAGTGAGACCCTGTCTCAAACAAACAAATCAACAAAAAACACTGTCAGTGTCAAACCCTACAGTGAATCCAGTTAGTTAAAAACTGGAAAGTATCGAATGGATTTAGTAAGTAGGAAGTTATTGGTGACTTTGGCAAAGGCAAGTTCAGAGGAACTGTGAGACCAAATGCCAGATTGCACTGTGTTTAGGAGTGAAACGCAAGGGGAAGAATCAGAGAAGCAAACGTAGACCATTCTTTTCCTGCAGCTTGGCTATAAAGAAGCAGAGAGAAATTGGGAGTTACAGAGGGGAAGAGGGTAGACGGAGAGACTGAAGCATGGGCATGAGCAAAAAGAAAGATCCATCAGAAAGAAGACAAACAGAAGAGACAGAGGAGGCAGGCGGGGCTGAACTTCAGAGCACAGGTCTCAGGAGAAAGAAGGAAGGTTGGTGACAGAGAGAGATGGAATGGTGAAAGATAAGTCTGACAGAGCTCTCTGGTCCCTTTTCATATATTCACTCAATGTCCGGTGGCACTGATCAAGCAAAGTGCCCAAACCAGACTTGCCTGATTTCCTGATGGGTCATCCTCCCTTCCTGGCTTTTTTGCCTTCAGTGTCTTCCCGTCTTGGGCAACAGGGGTGGGCTGAAAGTCTTTAGAGACTTTGATGAACTCCAGTCACTTTCATTGGTCCTGCTCCTCTAATCCCATGGCATTTGCACTTCCCTTTAACCATCTGGGGACCCCAGAAAGATGAAGCAATGCAGGAGCATGGAACAAGACACTGGACTAATTCTGAGAAAGGAGCATCCTTAGCGAATCCTCTCTCATCCTGTGATGTCACCCTATACCACCTATGGTCTGCACTGTCCATAAAACTCTTGGTTGAATGTGGCCCTGTTTGTCCTCCCATTATTTGAGATCACCATTCTCTCCTTCATCAATACCTCAGGTCTTTATCAAATGACTACCGTGGGTAGGTTGCCAAGGTTTTTCATCTTAACAAAGACAGAGTATATGTGCACGTATGTGATATATATATAGTGTGTAAATATAAACACTTATGCAGGCCGGGCGCGGTGGCTCAAGCCTGTAATCCCAGCACTTTGGGAGGCCGAGGCGGGTGGATCACGAGGTCAACAGATCGAGACCATCCTGGTCAACATGGTGAAACCCCGTCTCTACTAAAAATTACAAAAAATTAGCTGGGCACGGTGGCGCGTGCCTGTAATCCCAGCTACTCAGGAGGCTGAGGCAGGAGAATTGCCTGAACCCAGGGGGCGGAGGTTGCAGTGAGCCGAGATCGCGCCATTGCACTCCAGCCTGGGTAACAAGAGCGAAACTCCATCTCAAAAAAAAAAAAAAAAAAAAAACACTTATGCAAATATATACACATACATAGATATACACACATAATAAATAAAAACAGTACACGAAGGTAGCACAAACTGCAAAGTGAATTATCTAGGCAAAACAGCTATTAGGCTCGAATCTGGAACCTTGAAATAAGAGAAAGCTTCAAGGGAGTAATGTGAAGTAGGCCTTACCCAGAAGGGAAGGGCAGTTCATATAATAAAGGAAGGAGAATGTGGCTGACAAATTGGCAAAGACCAGGAAATGTATTTGGCAATGTTTAGGGAATAACTAAAAAAGTGAGTAACTAGAAAACGAGAAAAGCAAGAGAACTTGCTTTTCTATTCGAATCTGTTGAGGAATCCAGATATTATCCTACAAAAATGTGGAGCTACTGAGGGTTTTAGAATGAAAACTGACTTGTACCATATTTTTATATATTTTTTACAATTAATTTGGAAGAACTGTGTAGATCGATTTTAACAAATAAAGGGCAGGGATAATTCAGACACCATTTTGTGATACGTGAGGTGAGGGTGATAAAGAGCTATACCATTTTAAAAAGTGTCTGCAGTGAGGTGTTGGCCGTGGGGACTGAAAGAAGTTAGTGCCTGCCTGGACACGGAAGAAGAGACAGGAGGCCAGCAGCACTGCAAGGTTTCAGGCAGGAGGGAAAGGAGAGTGATGATACTCTGGAGATAATCAAATAGGAAAATTCAGAGAGTGCAGTTTAGTGACAACGAAGTTCCGTGGAGCTTAAGCTATGTGGGACTTGCTGATACGAACACCTTTGAGTTCAGATTTAGAAATCGATGACCAAAGCTCCGGGAGACATGAGGACTGGAAGTGTGGGCCTGGGGATCACCCGCGGCAGAGATGCGGAGGCAAAGGTAGACGACAAAACGGAGGAAGAGGAACCAGTGAGGCTGGAGGGTATGAGAAGCAGCCCAAGAGGCAGAAGGCTAGGAGGGTGGAATATTACAGCAGTCTGGGAGGAGGCAAGTTTTAAGGATGAGGAAGTACAGAACTGTAAATACTAAGACTGCCTGTGGAGAAAAGGCCAACGATATGGTCGCTCAGGATCTACAGGGAAGTCTCATTAGGAAGGAGGGGAGGAATAAACGGGTGATGACGGTTATAAGAGCAGACGGTGAGACCACTCCTTTGAGGCACAGGGTGGTGAGAACCGCCACCGTCGGGACTTCATCAGAACTCTCCGCAGAAACACAGACTGAAACAGGAGTAAGCTCTTCGGGAAGCAGGAGAGGTTGGGATCGAGAACAAAGATCTCGAGAAACTAATCTTGGCACTAAAGAATGACAGTTAGGAGAGGCACGAGGGGAGGTGCGATGAATCATGGATTTTTAAAGTAAAAAAAAAAAACAAAAACCAAGGCAGTTCTTCAGACAGCCTTGGTTTTCTCATCCATGGAAGGGAGTTAGCTGCAGCGTGTGTGAGGGATTTGATGCTTAGGACACTGAGAAAGGAAAGGTAGAGGTGGCCAGGCACGGTGGCTCATGCCTGTAATCCCAGCACTTTGGGAGGCCGAGGCAGGCAGATCATCGAGGTCAAGAGTTCGAGAGTAGCCTGGCTAACATGGTGAAAACCTGTCTCTACTAAATACAAAAAAATTGCCAGGCGTGGTGGCACCATGCCTGTAATTCCAGCTACTCAAGAAGCTGAGACAAGAGAATTGCTTGAGCACTTGAACCCTGAAGGCAGAGGCAGCAGTGAGCCGAGATCCTGCCACTGCACACTGGATTCCAGCCTGGGCAAGAAGATCAAAACTCCGTCTCAAAAAAAAAAAAAAGAAAGAAAGAAAGAAAAGAAAGGTAGAGGTAGCCGGGATATAATCTTCGACATGGCATCATAAGACTGTATTCAAGTTCCAGATATGCTAACTTGGGCTGGTCATGCAAGGGCTGGCAAGATCTCTTTGAGGCCATTTCCTTACGAAATTGTTAAAGGTTAAATGAGGTACTGCACGTGTAAATTATAAAGCACTTCTCAAACAAGAGAAGCCTGAAACTACCACAAGAAATGTGATACAGCATGAACAAGAGATGAAGTGGCGCACAGCCAAGCAGCAGGGAGGGGCAAGGTGAAAAGCAAGAATACACAGCAAACCTAAGTCCACACGGTTTGTGATTTCCTCCAGCCTGTTGGAGTGGAGAACGCAGATTCCGAGTGAGAGTAGGTGCAAGAAGGACAAGAGGCTGAAAAGAAATCTAGGCAAGGGCTATTTAAAAATCTTTGGGGACATGCTTACATTTGGAGATTACATGCAAAATTTACACAGAAGTGGCATTTGACTCATTGGCGTGTTATATTTTGGAAATGGCCAAACATTTCATTTTTATATTTTAGTTTTTTTTCCATATTTTGGGGTTAACTTTTTTTTTTTTTTTTTTTTTTTTCAGATTCTATATTTTTAAGAGCTTAGGCTGCAGACAGTATACCTAGAGCACGAACCGGGTACATGAAGGCATCAGTGGAACAGCCGCCCACTGGGTCCAAATGAACAAAGAACGCAGTGAGGGCCCGGTAGACAGGAACAGGTGGAGGGAAAGGGGCAGCTGTTACCATGTTGGGGATTGTGGAGGATCAGGAGACTCCTGGTAAGTAGAGAAGGCGGCCCTGTAATTCCAGCGAAAGGGGTGGGACGTGCTCATCTCCCCAGTGAGTGCTGGGCCCACAAAGCGCTTGCCCCTCATTGCCACCATCCACTGTCCCATTGTGACTAGGCAGGAGCCCTCCGTGATTGACGGATAAGAACGGCGGGTCCAATTTGTTCAGCTCGTTTCTGTCACACGGAACTGTGGGATCCTGGATGACAAACATTCATTCTTCCCGGACGGGGAAACAAAGCCTTTCCCGAGCCCGCGCAGGGAGGGCGGCGCTCCCCGGGCCGGCTCCAGTGGAAATTTGAGACCTCGGCTCCACGGTCTCGCGAACCGGCTCCCGGAACCCCGTCACCCCCGGAAAACACCCGAAGCCAGGGAGCCGCGGGCGTGCCTGTACCCCGCACGTGAGGCCTGGAGGGGCCTGTGAGCTCCAACAAGCTCCGGAGGACAAAGGGGAGCCTCGGGGCCACACACCCGCCTGGAGGAGAAACGTCTGGCGCCCCCGGGGGGTCGAGGCCTCGAGAGCCGGTACAACGTCTCCCACGCCCAGCGCCGGGCCAACTGACAGTGTCATCCACCAATGGGAGGGCCCAGTCTGCGTTCGTGGGCGGGACCAGTCCGAGGGGAGAAGGGGGGCCGTCCCCGCGGCAGGTCAGAGTGGTCCTGAGGCCGCCGTGCTCACCACGGAGACACAGGGACAGTCCCCGTGCAACAGTGACGCCGGCTACACTATGCCGCTCGCTCTCAGCCTTGGCCTTTCTCTCCCCCCGCGCTCCAGGCCCTTCGGCCGCCCCGCCCACGGCCTTGTTAGGCCCGTCCCCCGCGTGAGTGAACCGGCGAAGATGTGGCGTTGCCAAAGCTTATTGGATGCTTAGCGGCGTCACTCTGGAGGGCGGCAGGGCCCGGAGCGGCGAGGGCCGCCCCTCTCGGATGGTGATTGGACTCGCCGGAGTAGACCGGGCTGGGATTGGTCCGAGGCGGGGCGAGAGCCCGCGGGCGTCCCGGGCCCAGGCGCGGGGGAGGCGGTGGCCGCCGGGACGCCGGAGGGGGCGCTTCGCAGAGGGAAGGAGCGGGAGGGCCCTCTACCTCATCGCGCGGGGGCGGGGGCGGGGGCGGCAGTGGAGGGACCGAGACGGGCAGGGGTGACTGTTGGCAGCAGGACTAGCTGGAGACCTAGACCCGGAAGCGCGTCCGGGGAGGGCTTGGGGGTGCAGGAGGGCGTGGGCGTGTCTGGTGTGGGATGCAGTGGAAAGGAGGGGGCTCCTTTGTAGATCCGTGGGTGGCTCCTTTGAGGAAGCCTCTTTTTCCCCTCTGCCTTTTTATTTGCCGGCGAGGGAATCCCCGTGGTCTCTGTTCAAGTTCTGGAAACTTTCTCTTTGGGTGGGCTTAATCATCTGCGACTTCATCGTAGAACTGCCCGGGGCCCTTTCTGATATTGGTCACAAACGTGGGGAGTATGTCAGAGAACAGGAAGCCGCTGCTGGGCTTTGTAGGCAAACTCCCCGGTGGGACTGCACTTGGGAACGCAGGCAAGACTCACTGCCCCCTGTGCATGGGGCTTTTCAAAGCCCCCAGGCTCTTGCCCTGTTTGCACACAGTTTGCACCACGTGTCTGGAGCAGCTGGAGCCCTTCTCAGTAGTGGACATCAGAGGGGGAGACTCTGACACAAGCTCCGAGGGGTCAATATTGCAGGAACTCAAACCACGAAGTCTGCAGTCGCAGATCGGCATCCTCTGTCCGGTATGTGATGCTCAGGTGGATCTGCCCCTGGGTGGAGTGAAGGCTTTAACCATAGACCACCTGGCCGTGAATGATGTGATGCTGGAGAGCCTGCGTGGGGAAGGCCAGGGCCTGGTGTGTGACCTGTGCAACGACAGGGAAGTAGAGAAGAGGTGTCAGACCTGCAAAGCCAATCTCTGCCACTTCTGCTGCCAGGCTCATAGGTAAAGATGGGACACTCCACCAGGTGTAGCTTAAGAGGAAGTACAAAGAGGTGTCAAGACAGAAATCCCTCGGTGAGCAGATGAAATACCGCGGAAGGTCAAAGAGCACTTACTCCGGCACAGCAGTTAACCCGGTCAGCCTTATATAGTACTGTAGCAACAGCAACAGAGGTTTGCATAATCTTTTTCAATTTCCAAAGTGCAGCTACGTTTCCTTCAGTCGTCAGTCATTCGTGTACAATAATTGTACGTGCAGGAGAAACAGGAGAATGAATATAATAGCATAGATCCTGCTCTTGATCTTGTTTGATCTTGCAGCTCTTACAGAAAAGCAGGCACTGTTCCCCATTTATTAATTGGGGAAACTGAGGCTCAGCAATATTATGTGATTTGCCAAGGCCCTATAGTTGGTAAGTGTGTAACACCTGAGTATTGAATCTAGATCATTTTGACTACATTCCACTAACCCATGCTACCCTCCTAGAATAGGAGAATTGAATAGAATAGGTGATGCTTGGTTGGACCTCAGCTTTTGCTTTGTACCTTAGAGTTACCCTGGAGCTTGGTGAGGTGGGCTTGTAGGTGTTAACTGGGATGCAGACTGTACCTTTTATGGCATTTGGTGAAGAGTTTGCCAGATGGATCACTTTTGTCCCTTCTTACCTTCCTTACCCCATCCTAGGACACGAAAATATAAAATGACCACAGTTTTAGGATTAGCCTAAAATAGATTTCAGGTTCTAATTTCCATTTGTTTTCTGGTCACACTAACAGAACAAGTTTGTAGACTTCACTCTATTTTTAACTTGTAATTATGTGATAGTCCCTGCGACTGTCTTGCTGCCAGCCAAACCAGCTGACCCTATTTTCTCTGCAGCTACTCTTCTGCCAGAATAGGCATATAAGCTTCAAATTGATACAATGCTAATGGAGGAACTCTGAACAGTCACCATGTTTTCCTAGGGATTTCCCTGAATCTCTAGAGAGCTATTACAGGAAAGGAATTTAAAAAAGACCTTTGATTCTACTAACCATTGGTTTCACACTTTCTTTTCTTTTTTGAGATGGAGTTTCACTCTTGTTGCCCAGGCTAGAGTGCAGAGATGCGATCTTGGCTCACTGCAACCTCTGCCTCCCGGGTTCAAGTGATTCTCCTGCCTCAGCTTCCCGAGTAGCTGGGATTACAGATGTGTGCCACCATTCATGGCTAATTTTTTGTATTTTTAGTAGAGATGGGGTTTCACCATGTTAGCTAGGCTGGTCTCAAACTCCTGACCTCAGGTGATTCACCCATCTCCGCCTCCCAAAGTGTTGGGATTTACAGGCATGAGCCACTGTGCCTGGCTGGTTTCCCGCTTTCTAATAATGTTGATAATGTCTCTTGAAAAAAATTCTAGCCTGCTGATTTGGGTAATATAGGTACTAGACAATAGAAATGCTTTACAGACATCTTAGATGCAAGCTAGATGAGACTTTGTGTCAGGACCAGCTAGCTGCTTTTAATTGCTTGGACTTAATTGCTGTGTTACCTGGCATGATTTCTGCCATGCCCTCACTGCCAGCTTACCTTAGGATGCAGACTGTGGCTCTTGGCTAAACTGTTTGGGGAAAGTTCTAGCATGCAGTCACAGTCTTGCAACCTTCTACAAAGGTATGTACCAAGCCAGAGCCCTGGTCTGTTTACATGTTACTGAACACAACAGCCCTTTCAGGCAGGGTTTGTCCCCACTGTACAGATGAGGAACGGGAATCAGAGAGGATCATACAACTAGAGGTTAGAGCAAGGAACTGAAACAAAATTTGTTTAACTTCAGAGCCTGCGCTCCTAAAACCTCTCTGCCCAACTATTCCCAACTAGAATTGTTCCCTTATTTCCTGTTATTGACTCTGTTTGCCCCTAGGCGGCAGAAGAAAACAACTTACCATACCATGGTGGACCTAAAGGACTTGAAAGGCTACAGCCGGATTGGGAAGCCCATCCTCTGTCCTGCTCACCCTGCGGAGGAGCTGAGGCTGTTCTGTGAGTTCTGTGACCGGCCCGTGTGCCGGGATTGCGTGGTGGGGGAGCATCGAGAACACCCTTATGACTTCACCAGCAATGTCATCCACAAGCATGGGGACTCCGTGCGGGAGCTCCTCAAAGGTACTCAGCCCCACGTGGAAGCCCTGGAGGAGGCCTTGGCTCAGATCAAGATAATGAACAGTGCCCTCCAGAAGCAAGTGGAGGTAGTGGCAGCTGATGTCCGGACATTCTCAGAGGGCTACATTAAGGCCATTGAGGAGCACCGCGACAAGCTGCTGAAGCAGCTGGAAGACATACGGGTCCAGAAGGAAAATTCCCTGCAGCTGCAGAAGGCCCAGCTGGAACAGTTACTGGCAGACATGCGGACTGGAGTGGAGTTCACCGAGCACTTGCTGACCAGCGGCTCAGACTTGGAGATCCTCATCACCAAGGGGGTGGTAGTAGAACGGCTCAGGAAGCTGAACAAAGTTGAATATAGCACCCGCCCTGGAGTAAATGATAAGATACGCTTCTGTCCTCAGGAGAAAGCAGGCCAATGTCATGGCTATGTGATCTATGGGACCATTAGTACCAAAGAGGTTGATCCAGCCAAATGTGTCCTACAAGGAGAAGGTAGGAAGGCATTTCCCATGGACACTGAGAGGACAGTGGACAGGGAGATGGTGTGTAAAGATTGGTGGCTCGTTCTTCTAGGAAGCCTGCCCTACTGACCAGGTTACCAAAGGTGGGAGATAAACTGATCTAAAAGACAGTGACCCCCACCTTTGCTCTTTCTGGTTTGTTCTGGTTAGGGTACAGTTAATACTCAATACAGGAGTGAGGCTTGACCCTTTTCCAGTTCAGAGAAATAGTAACGGCCGAGAAATGCACAGATCATGTTTTCTTTCTATCAGATGGCAGAACACACAGTGCCCGTTGGAGGTAACAGCAGTGCTAGGGCCAGAGGAAATTCTGCCTGCTCAGAGAGGAGCACGGCAGGCCCTGGATGGCTCAGATCAAGTTCTGAAGGGGGTTTCAGAGGAATGAGGAAGACGAGATTATGGTTTCCTTTCTTTAAGCCCTTTTGGTTCACATCAACCTTACTGGCATTTTAAAGGCTATGGTAGGTGTTTCATTTAACTGGGGGGAAAGTGGTTTCTTTTAACCAGCGTTTCCCTTTCTGACGGAAGCATGTTATTCAAACATAAAGTCAGTCCTGATAGGACGACAGTATCTTAGAATCATCCGACCCTGACACAGGCATTCTTAACTGTTTGGAAGTCCTAAATCTCTTTGAGAATGTCGTCTCCTACAGAAACACCCAGTAACTTGGACATACAATTCCAGATTTTTAGACTCTTCATAAGCCTTTCCATAGACCTTGTAGTAGTTCATGAACCTCAGGATAAGAAACCCTGTTTCATCTGAATGCTTGAGTAGGGACTGTAGCTACTGGATATCCCCCAACACCTTGGCATGAGCTACCACGTTGCAGAGGATCTCACAAGATGGAGGGTCGTGAGGCTGGTCAGCTGTACCTCCCACCTAGCGCAGCAGGAGCCGGAGCCTGGGTGGATGGTTTTGGTGTTACTAGCCTCTCTTACAGGAGCTAAAGGTTTTCTTCTGTAAATACCTAGGTCAGCCCTGAGTATTTTCAAAGCCTCCCTGGACTGAAGGTAAGGTCCAGGATCCTTTGTGATCCAAGCAGCTGCTAGCTGAGAATGAGGTTCACCAGGAAGGACTCCCAAGAGGTGTACTCTGGGAGGCAGAAGGGGACAGAAAAGAAAGGGAGCCAGGGTGGTTACAGTAAACAGGAAAGCACAACCCTTTGTTCCAAAGAGAAAAAGCAAGATGGAGATGTTGCTGCAGTTTGCATTTGAGGTGAAGATCAAGTGTTTATCTTTTTCAGATCTCCACAGAGCCCAGGAGAAACAGACAGCCTCTTTCACCCTGCTTTGCAAGGATGCTGCAGGAGAAATCATGGGCAGGGGAGGAGACAACATTCGAGTTGCCGTTGTCCCTAATGACAAGAAAGACAGGTTTGTATGACACAATTAGGTGTCATGGATAACAGGCAGTGAGGAAACTGGAAACATGAGGTCCTTTCAGATATTGGGGCCAGGCATGGTGGCTCACATCTGTAATCCCAGCACTTTGGGAAGTGGAGGCAGGAGGATCACTTAAGCCCAACAGTTCAAGACCAGCCTGAGCAACATAGGCTGGTCTCTACAAAATAAAAAAATTAGCTGGGCATAGTGGCATGCACTTATAATCCCAGCTATTCAGGAGGCTGAGATGGGAGGATCCCTTGAGCCCAGGAGGTTGAGGTTGCAGTGAGCCGTGATTGCACAACTACACTCCAGCCTGGGCAACAAAGCAAGATCCCAGCTCAAAAAAAAAGATACTGTAACTCAGTGGTTACATCTTACCTCCCCATAATGCTATGGAAGAAATGTTATATGACCAAATGTGTTTTCTTGTGTGGGTTTTGTATTCAGTTCTCTCTCAAAGCTGCTGCCCCTCAGATTATTTTCATCTCAAGCTTTAGAATAGATTGAAAAATCTTCTATGGTTACGCTGAATGGTACCCCTTCCAAAATTCAGCCTCCCTTTGCTACTAAATTATGCCTGGAGCATGTTTATATTTCTCTGGAATTGGAGTATGGAGGAGGGATAGCAGAGCAAGAGGGTTCAACCTCTTGCTATTGAAAAGGACACAATATATTCAAGGAATTTGTCTGAATATCAGACTAAATTGGAATCTATGCTGTTTACCTTCTGTTGTATAATTAACTTGTGAAGCAAATGAAAGAAGCACCCTGTTTGGGGTTATTTAGCATTAATATTGAATGGAATGGTACAGAGTTTACATTCTGAAATAGTAGCAAGTGAAGCTGGCTTGTGGGAGTGAGTGGTGTGTTTTGGCTTTTATCTCCATTTAGCCCAGTCCGAACGATGGTCCAGGATAACAAGGATGGGACATACTACATTTCCTACACCCCCAAGGAACCTGGTGTCTATACTGTGTGGGTCTGCGTCAAGGAGCGGCATGTACAGGTAAGACTGGTGCACGTGCCTCCCTGAGCTCCCTTCACCCTGGTCCTCCGGGTGCTACTGTCTTAGGATCTGGAGACATTTCACGTAGGATCAGCTCTACAGGGAGACTGAGTAGAATCCCGTGGTATTCTTCACTTTAGAAACAGCCTAGATTTTGCTACTGCTCTGCTTAGAGGATGCTGTGGACCATAAGAACCCTCTATCTCTGTGTCACTTCCTGGCAGTTATGCTTAGTTTTTCCTTCTCCCAGTTGGTTTCTTAGGATTCTTAATATGGAGGAGATGTCTTGATCACAGGAGGTGATCTGCCAGCAGACAACCATGCATATTCAAAAATAGAATCTAGCTCAGGGTTTTCCCGCTTTGTCCAGACTGGACATGAACACAGTTGGGAGGGTTATGCCCCCTCCTCACAACTGATCTCTCTGCCTAACCATCTGCCCGCGTCATTTTCTACTCTGTTTTACATAGAGGTTTTTCTGTTACTGTGGCTACCAGAAACAAACAAATATACCAAACAAGTTATGTTACCATGGTTACTACAAACAAGTTAACACAAACAAGTAGAGCACCTTCTGCTTTACAGATTATGAGTTTTTAAAAATTGGGTGACACTCACAGGTCCAGCGGAATCTCTCTGCTGACACTGTCATAGAGGTTTCCCTCCACAGAAACCAACACTTGACGGGGACAAGAAAATACCATACAGCATCATGGTATGTTAGCTTTATGATTTGTGGACTTAGGAACACGCATATTTAATAGCCATTTATTGTTTACCTAATATGGTATGTCAGGAACAGGCTATGTGTTTTTACATACATTATTTCAATTTTCTTCAAAGCTACGCAGGCACAGGGATCATTGTCCAATTAGCCTGAGACCAAACTTGCTACAATGCACAGGAAATGTAGCAAAATAGGAATTTGAACCTATTTCTTTGAAATGCCAAGTTGTTTTTTAACTGGATTGTAAACTCTTTAAGAGGGGAAATTTAAAATCTGAAAGACTTCTAAGGTGCTTGCTGGGCTCTCTGCTTTGTGTTTTATCAAACTATGTGGCTCTCACATAAGGATAGGCACATCGCAACTTATTAAATATTTAAATTGGGCATGATGGTGTGCACCTGTAATCCCACCTACTTGGGAGTATCATCTGAGCCCAGGAGCTCAAGGCTGCCGTGGGCTATGGTTGTGCCAGGGCACTCCAGCCTGGAGAGAGAGTGAGATCCCATCTTTAAAAAAAATAAATATTTTGTGTTTAACATGGGATATAAAGTAGAGAATGAAAGTTATCCTTAAAGGAAAGGAGGCGGATGGGAGTTACTAATTTGAGAATTATTCGCTGTACAGATTTAACCTTTCTCCTTTCCCTGTGTCTTCACAGTCCCAGAATAAGTGGGTGAGTAAACAGATAAGTCACGTCCAGGATGGAAAGAGAGGCTGGCTTGGTATGTGAGGAGAAGAGGCACATGGCTGAGAAATTGGAGAAGGGACCACAGGATGTTTGCGGTTGCAACATTCTACTTATTACCCCTGAGGTTCCTTAAGAATTGAGATTGAGAGTCCCAGAGAAGAGAAGTCAGTCTGAGATTACTAATGTATTGAATGACCTAGATACTTAAACTTCATACAAGGATAGAGGCAGAATCCATTAAGAAAAGCTTAAGCTTACTGTAGCATGGGCTTCTGCTTTTTCTGCCATCTTGCAGAACAATCCCCAGCTAATACAGATGCATTGAAAATGGAGGCGACTCTGTGACTCCTGTCAGTGTTCAGCAGGTTCAGCCACACGGAATCAGTCAGTACCTAGGCTGAGTAATTAGCATCTGTGGTGAAAAGCATGGTAGGAGGGCTGCATAGACTCTGTGATGCTTCCACTGCATCTGTATCTGCACCCTCTCAGCTGAGCAGGGTCCTTGTCCTCTAATCTGTTTCTCTCCTGCTGTCATCGTGCCTCAAAGGGCAGGCCCTGTGCCTGACTCTGTTTAGCATATACCGATGCTCCGCACATCCTGTAACTCATAAGGTGCTGTTCTTTGCTCTTGGTCTGAACGCTGAAGGGCTCACCATTCACTGTGACCGTGAGGAGAAAGCACCGCCCACACCCAGGCGTGTTTCACTGCTGCACCTTCTGCTCCAGTGGAGGCCAGAAAACCGCTCGCTGTGCCTGTGGAGGCACCATGCCAGGTAAGGAGAAAGCACTACCTCTGGGCCTTTCTGCCAGCAGTGGGAATACAGCGACAGAGCCTCCCCTACCACACAGCCACTAGACATTTGGACTTAGGCTCTGCTTCCAGGAAGTACAGTCTGTGATTGTAGAGACACCACTGTTGTAAAAGTTTCACTTAAAGCTTCCTTGTTCTGAGTGGAAATAGCAGGCATAAAAGCTGAGTTCTGCTTTGGTACAGCTCCTGTGAGCCCTGTGCTGCTTTGTAGGATTCTCAGTTTGTCTGTCCCTTTCCAGCAGCCTGAGCAGTGTGAGAACTGTGGACCCATCTTATTCCTTTTAAAACCTTAAATAAATTCTAAAGGAGGCATGACTGGAGGAGTGGATGATTAAACCAACTGAACAAGGTCAGGTCTTTTAGGGGCAGGGAAAGAGTGGAGTCAGTGTAGGTAAGGGATCTAGTACTTTTCTAAAAAAATTATTCTATTGGGTTCACTCTAATAATGGGCCATAATATAGGCTTTGTGTCCTTCTGTATAAACACTTCAGGATCTACTTTTTTATGTTCACCAACCTACCCTTCTTTATTTCAAGGATTTTACAGTTAAAGTCCAAACCAATTTATTTTACAGTTAACGTACAAACTAGTTTGCCTCCTTCAGGTGGTATCACTACAGCAGTCTTAGAATTCTGGCTAACATGAGTTGATTTGCTGTGATCAGTTTTGAGGGTGTTTGTCTTGCCAAGATTTTCTTAGGTATTTTCACTCCCAGGAATCTGCATGTTTTCAGGAGGTCTAATTTCCATGGTGACTGCTGGACTCCACTCTAATGGTCGATTTTTTTCCTTTCCTCTTTGTACCATGCAGGTGGGTACCTAGGCTGTGGCCATGGACACAAAGGTCACCCAGGTCATCCCCACTGGTCATGCTGTGGGAAGTTTAATGAGAAGTCTGAATGCACGTGGACAGGTGGGCAGAGTGCACCGAGGGGTCTACTTAGGACTGTGGCGCTCTGATGAGTTTGTGCTCAGCCCGTTAAAGCTGCAGTCACACCACTTCAGGTTTCCAGAGGACCCAGACCTTCGTTCATTCTAAAGAGACTGATAAAAACAAAGTGCCTTATCTTACATTGGAGTTCAAGTGCTCTTTTGTTATTCACTGATGGTACTTGTGGATGGTTGAGCACAAAAGACCACCTCTACGTTTATCTTAAAGGTAGGTTAGCAGCGTTCTTTCTCTACCACAGGACACTCCTTTTCATTTTGTACAGTACGGAGGTATCTATTCCATTGGAACTGAAGGGTCATGGGGGTAGTTTAGTTCCTCATTTTCTGATATAACCTTTTTTTATTTTTCTCTGAGCTACACATTATTTAGATATTTCCCCTAGAGATTAAAGCTTCCTTTCATCCTGTCCACTTTTTGTTAGCGGTGGCCTTTCAGTGGATTTACTGGTACGTGTTTTGTGATTGTGATAATGTGGTCTTGTTTTGGTGAGTGTCCCCCTCCTTCTCTACGCCATGTCAATCTTCTCCCCCAAAGCCTGAAAGATTACTCTTTGGTCAAGGGCATACTGGTGTTGAAATAGAACCTCACACATTTATTGCTGTTCTACTCATGCCAGAAAAATCTAGATACCTTTAGGCTTCTAACATCTGTTTTTCAGTCGAGTACTCTTTAGAGTAGTTTTCACTTTTGTCTCCATACCTGGAAAGTTAACTAGAAGCTTTGACTCTTACTGTGCCTTCACTCATAGTGTGCCTTCTTAGCTGCTAGAGAAATCTGGGGAGAGGAAGTACACAGCACTAGTGCCTCAGCCCTGCCAAGGTCTTCACTCTATATAATTTTGTTCTGAGACTTGATTTCTTATAGAGCAAAAAACTTAGCATGTATTAAATATAATTATTGAAATCTGCATTGTAAGATCCCTTAAGAAGTGGATGACTCATTTGAATGGTGAATTGGGTCAGGCAAAGGAAATGAAATAATTAGATGATGACTGGCAGATCACGGTGGAATACATTTCCTCCTTGAGGCCGACAGACATGGGCTACATTGTAGCCATAAATACTCAGATATTCTCTATTCTCACCCTTTTCTGGAAACATTCCCTTCAGCCTCTTTCTGATCTTCTCAAAACACATTCCTGCCCCTGTCATCCTCTCAAATTATTAGCTATTTGCTCTTTCTCAATCCTTCTGTCACTTGGCCCAGAAATATATGTCTTTTTAGCTTATCAATGCTGCTTTGAGATGAGTGTTTTGTGTGTGTGTGTGTGTGTGTGTGTGTGACAGAGTCTTGCTCTGTGGCCCAGGCTGGAGAGCAGTGGCACAATCTCGGCTCACTGCAACCTCCGCCTCCCAGGTTCAAGCAATTCTCCTGCCTCAGCCCCCTAAAAGTAAGCTGGGATTACAGGCACATGCCACCACACCTGGCTAATTTTTGTATTTTTAGTAGAGATGGGGTTTCACCAGGTTGGCCTGGCTGGTCTCAAACTCCTGACTTCATGATCCACCCACCTTGGCCTCCAAAGTGCTGGGATTACAGGCGTGAGCCACCGTGCAAGGCCGAGATGAGTGGTTCTTAACCAGGAGTGACTCTGCCCCGGAGAGAACATCTGGCAAAGTCTCAGCGACATATTTAGTTGCCACTAGTGGGGCAAGGTGCTACTAACATCTCTTGGGTAAAGGTCAGTGATGCTGCTAGTCACTTTACAATGCTCAGGACAGCTTCCTGAAACAAGTATCTAGTTCAAAATGTCAGTGGTTCTGCTGTTGAGAAACCCTGTTCTACAGCATTAGCCATACTTTTTTCTAAAAATGGCCAGCCTTGAAGCTCATGCCTTTCAGCTCTACAGCTTGCTATTCCTCCGTGGTTCAGCCATCTACTGAGCCCCAAATCGTTCCCCCTCATTCCTTGAAGATTATAGCATCAAGCTTGCTCTGACTCCGGTACAACTCCTTATCCGTCTGGAGATAACTCACTGTCTACGTAGATTTCTTAGTTCAGTGACCATTTCCCCAATGTTATTTTTTCCCTACTTACATACCCTAGATCTTGATTCCAACCACACCCTCTGCATAGTCTCAATTTCAAGCATCCTGCAACCACAACCTCCCACCTTTCCAGCTCACCCACTGACTACTAATTCTTCTACATTCTTGGAACCTACAATGCAGCGATTCAGCCACCTTCCTGTTGTTCCTCACCCACCTCAGGTCCTTCCCTTCATCCTTCCCAACTTAGATTCTACAGACCATCACTATAATCATTCTGTTGCATAGTCTCTGTCATTCTTGCCTGGCGTAACTCCAGCCCAGGTTAGATCCAATCTTCCATCTAACCTAACTGAATGATCTGGCAAAACAATGAAAGCATGATTAGTCTTACTTTAAATTTATGACCACCAATTTCAGTGGGCTCTTAGCACTGCCCAGTAGCCTGCAACATCTCCCCAGTTCATTTATTCTCCCACGCTTCTAGACAATTCATACTTTTTTTCCCTCTGACTCTAATTACTACCCCACCTCTACTCTGCACTAATGACCTTGCCAGGAATATTTCAGATTCAGAGGAGAATTTCCCTAGCCTCCCTACCACATGTACACATCTACCTAAATTCTTATCAAGAGCCAATTTCTATTGTGTACTGAATCCCATTCTGTAACTACTTCCCAGGAGCACTGCTCTAGTAATTTCCCTTTTACTGGACTGCTGACTTCAGAAAATAATCATGATGCAATATTCCCATCTTAAAATACAAATTTCCCTTTTGTGTTAGTTGGCTAGGGCTGCCATAACAATACCACGGACTGGGTGGATTAAACAACAGAAATTAGCTTTCTCACAGTACTGGAGTCTGGAAGTCCAAAATCTAGGTGCTGGCAGGGTTCCTTCTGGTGAGGACTCTATCCTTGGCTTGCAGATGGCAGCCTTGTTTCCACATGGCCGTTCTCCTGCATGCAGGTGCTCCAGGCATCTCCACATGAGGACACCAGTCCTGTTGGATTAGGATCCCATCCACATGATGCTGTTTAACCTTAATCACCTCCTTAAAGGGTTTTTCTCCAAATATAGTCGCATTGGGTGTTAGGACGGAGTTTTGGGGAGTACAACTCAGATAACAATTTCACATCCCCTTTAGCAACCTCTCCACTTTTCTGCTTCTCTTTAAAAGCACCTCGAAAGAATTGTTTGGTATCTCCAGTTTCTCTCTCTCTATGAGATCTAATCCAGTCTGACATCCCGAAGACTCCATTGAAATGGCTCTTGTCAAGATTACCGGGAAACTCCAGGTTACAGAATCCAGTGGTCAGTTCCCAATCTTTATCTTTTTTTTGACCACCCAATATCACAGAAATATTTTAAAAGATTTTTATACATTTTTATGTATTTTAAAATCTTTTAAAATATGTCAGCTTGTCACTCTTTTGCTCACCACTGCCCATTAGTGTCACATCTTAGAAAAGTGAGTCTTTGCATCAGCATGTAAGACCCCGCATGAGCTGGGTCCCTGCTCTTACTGCCTACCTATCTGCCTCCATCACCCTATTCCAGCCAAACTGTCCTGCCTGGTGCTCCTTAAACTCTCCAAGTATACACACACACACACACACACACACATATATATTTATATGAGTATATACATGCATGCACACACACACACACATATATTTATGAGTATATACATGCACGCACACACACACACACATATTTATATGAGTATACACATGCACGCACACACACACATATATTTATATGAGTATATACATGCACGCACACACACACACATATATTTATGAGTATATACATGCACGCACACACATATTTATGAGTATATACATGCACGCACACACACACACACATATATATTTATATGAGTATACACATGCACGCACACACACACACACATATATATTTATATGAGTATATACATGCACGCACACACACACACACATATATATTTATATGAGTATACACATGCACGCACACACACACACACATATATATTTATATGAGTATATACATGCACGCACACACACACACACACATATATATTTATATGAGTATATACATGCACGCACACACACACATATATTTATATGAGTATATACATGCACGCACACACACACATATATATTTATGAGTATACACATGCACGCACACACACACACATATATTTATATGAGTATATACATGCACGCACACACACACACATATATATTTATATGAGTATATACATGCACGCACACACACACACATTTATATGAGTATATACATGCACGCACACACACACACACATATATATTTATATGAGTATACACATGCACGCACACACACACATATATATTTATATGAGTATACACATGCACGCACACACACACACACATTTGGAGACAGAGTCTCTCTCTGTTGCCCAGGCTAGAGTGCAGTGACGCAATCTCAGCTCACTGCAGCCTCTGCCTCCATAGGTTCAAGTGATTCTCCCACCTCCGCCTCTGGAATATCTAGAACCATAGGCACACCCTACCATGTCCGGTAGAACCATAGGCACACCCTACCATGTCCGGTAGAACCATAGGCACACCCTACCATGTCCGGTAGAACCATAGGCACACCCTACCATGTCCGGTGAATTTTTTGCATTTTTTTGTAGAGATGGGGTTTTGTCATGGTATCCAGGCTGGTCTCAAACTCTGGCCACCTCAGCCTCCCAAAGTGCTGGGCCAACACATGTATATTCTGTTCGTTGTCTGTCCTCTCGTACTAGATTGTAAGCTCTGTGAGGGCAGGGATTTGATATTTTTAAACTACCATACTGTTCCCTTGTAGGACACTTCCTGGCACATAGTAGAGACTTAATAGTATATCAGTGAATAAAGATCTGATTGGTAGAATTTTTAGTTTGGATCTCCTTGGTATCTGCTTTTACAAACCAAACTTCCCTTCTCCCAAACCCCAGTATTTGTCATTTAAACGAATACCACTTGGGAAAAAATCAGCCTTATCTCAAGCCTGTTGGATAAATTACATGAACCTGAGACCAGCCTTGAATTTTTCCAATTACCTCATCCATCTGGGGAACTGCTTGCCGTGAAGAAGCCATTGTATTATATCATCCTTCCCCATGTGTCTTTTAATGAATCCAATTTCAGAACTGAGAACAAAAAGCTTACCATTTGTTTCAGTTGGAGGTGGTTTCAGTGATTGGACAACTTTATGTAGATGAATTAACATTGCAGTAGAAAATTTCCATAAGACATCTAGGTTCTAGCTGATGTGTTAGCCTTTAAGCAATATTAATGGTAACAATTCTGTTACAAATATTTGAAGTCTGTGCGTGGGTGTTGGGGGGTGATATTTCATGCATGCACTACAATGGAGTACAAACCCAATTTAATTCAGCTGCTTTGCCTGCTGAAAGACCGGCAACAGAGCCCAAGACTCCAAGGTGAAGCAAAAAAGAGTGGGAGGATTTAGGAACCATCCCCAGCGTGCTTCAGAAATCACCATTGAATTGTGAGCATTGAAGCATCAACAAGATGCAGCATTATGATGTAAGTTATGCCTCTGGTGTTACAGGTAAGAAAAAAGAGCCACAGGTAAGAGCCTCAGTCCTCTGGGATGCTGTAACAGGATAAACACTTTGGCTGTCTTGGATAATAAACACACACATACCTGTCAGCCCACCCATACTCTCATGTCCAAAATGCAGTAGTTGCTCAACTTTCCTCCAGACTGTATCGCTGTGTGGTAGGTTTGGCTCAGGAAAGAGGTGGTCCAATGAAGTGGATGCTAATTAGAAGCAGGATACAGTATAGGAAGAGGCATCTCACTCTGCCTTGTTAGCGTCTACATACTGATTTCCATTCTTTTATCACTTCCTCAGATCTTCCCTGACTAGGTCAAATCGTGTTAGCAGCCCTCCCAGCTGCACAGTCCTCTCCTGTAGCACTCACTCAGCATCAAGGCTGCTTTACGGCCACCCGGGGCTATCTGATTAATGCCTGTCTCCCTCAGATGCTGTCTCAGGAGGACAGGATGGGTTTTCAGGTTTGCTTATTTTATATTTGCAGTGCCCAGCAGTGCCTGGCATACAGAAAGTGTTCAACATACATTTCTGAATTGATGTATGAATAATTAAGCAAGAAAATAATCTCATCCTTCCTTTCTTATGTAGTCTCTGCCTATCCATACATTTGGATTTAGCTATGGAATCTGGGTAAGAACTCAGGATAGTAAAAACATTGTGTAGCTGCGTATCTGTCTCCCTGGTTCCCTCCCTGGGTTTTGCTTTTTTTTTTTCATATCCATCTCCATCCTCTAGCTACTGACTTCTGTGGTACTTTGTATTATAACTGACCCTGATTTCATTTTTAGTTATGAAAACATTTTAGTCTAGGCCATATGCCTAGGAATTCTGACCTTCTATTATAATTATCTTTGTGCCTACAGATGTGCTTTTAAATGTTTCCTGCCCTTTCCTCAGGCTAGACGTTATATAACGGATAGCAGCACAATATCCCACCTTGCAACCCTAATTCTCTCAAGGTATTATAGCAGATAGCGAAATTTCAGACAACCAGAGGCCACATTGAGCACTGGTGTCTCCATGCTTATCCTGTTAGTGCAGGAGAATCTGACTTGACCTTTGAGCCCTGCTAAAAGCTATTTCATTGAGCACCAAACAATCAGAACAAGGAAACAATTGTTTCCTAAATTGCCACACTATATCACTCACAGGATCACCAGAGAAAGAGGGCATGTCCCATAGAGAGAGAATTCTACCTAATGCTGTTTATAATGATTGCATGGCAACAGGAGTCTTTTTTTAATTTAATTTTTGTTTTTTTGGAGACAGAGCCTTGCTCTGTGGCCCAGGCTGCAATGTTGTAATCTCAGCTCACTGCAACCTCCACCTCCCGAGTTCTAGTGATTCTCCTGCCTCAACCTCCCCAGTAGCTGCGATTACAGGTGCCCAACATCAGGCCTAATTTTTGTATTTTTAGTAGAGATGGGGTTTTGCCATGTTGGCCATGCTGGTCTCAAACTCCTAGCCTCAAGTGATCTGCTTGCCTCGGCCTCCCAAAGTGATGGGATTACAGGCATAAGCCACCGCACTGGGCCTGCAATAGGAGTCATCGAGGTTTTTAAAGGGCCCAGGACTCTGCCTCGCTGTGGCATGCACGATACTCCTACTTGATCAGTGTGACTCAAGCAAAGTCAAACTACAAACCTTCCATGAAGTCAGTGCTGTTGGGTAAGAAATACCTTCGAAATCGGGGGCTCACGGATGCTGCACTTTGGTGACATACATTCGTGTGACCTGACTCTAAGCTGCACCCATGCTGCCGCTTGTTCTCGTGTCCCCACACCTTGTCTCACAGCACTAACACCTGTGTGGCTCTTCATGGTTTTCAACCTCATACCATCCATGCCCAAGTCAGGTGCGATAGGCAGATGGAAAAGCAAATCCAGCCGCAATAGTGTGACATGAAGGCTGGCTGGCTGACACGGGCCAGACTCATAGTGTGGTCCCACAGTTAGGCCACTATGCTGTGGGATGCTGCCCACTGCTAGAAGGTGCAGAGGCCCGCCCTGCCATACCTAGACTTTGAGAAATGATTTACACTAAAATGAATATGAGCCAGAGATAGATAGATGAGTATCAGAATGCCAATGCTGTGAATTCATGAGACATTTCCATCCCAGCACTAGGATTTAAGAATGCATGTTTGGTATACTGCATTCCATTAAGGCAGTGGTTCCATTTTTTTTCTGCATCCACATCAAATCAATTGAATCTCACGGTTATGAGAACACCTACCCAAGACATAACTAGGTTGCTGTGCTTGCTTACAACAAGGAAAATTAGAGAAGCTATTTTAATACCAGGAGGCATCTACCTAGAGTCGATTACTTGTCAGTGGCCTCAATATCTGAAGATTGTAGGTTACAATCCCTGTACCCCTCTCCAAACTAAAAGTCAGAATGCTTGAACCTGAAAGAATTCCTCTCCCCTAAACAGTGCTGGACTGGACACTCACAATGTTCATCTGATACCTTCTGGCTGACATTACTGATCTATCTGGTCAAACATGACATAGTTTATGTATCATGAAATAGTTATGCTATGAAATTCCCAGTGGAGCCTGAGATACATGCTGATCCACACATTGTACAGATGAAAGGACTGAGATGTCCAGGGAATCTGCAGCTTGCCTAGTATCAGTCAGCAAGTGGCAGAGCCAGGTGGGTACATTCTTGCTGGCCAGGGAGCTTCTCAGGTGATTCAATCTTTACCTTGGTGTATTGATCTTATAGCAAAACTTCAAAAAGGCAATATTACTTCCCTTGCTTCTTGAATTTTTTTTTGCTCGGAGTTTTGCTCTTGTTGCCCAGGCTGGAGTGCAATGGCACAATCTCAGCTCACCATAACCTCCACCTCCTGGGTTCAAGTGATTCTCCTGCCTCAGCCTCCCAAGTAGCTGGGATTACAGGCACACGCCACCATGCTCGGCTAAATATATTTATATATTTTTTGTTTTGTTTTGTTTTGTTTTTAGTAGAGATGGGGTTTCTCCATGTTGGCTGGTCTCAAACTCCTGATCGTAGGTGGTCCAACCGCCTCGGCCTCCCAAAGTGCTGGGATGACAGGTGTGAGCCACCGCGCCTGGCCTGCTTCTTGATTTCATCAGGAACCTTGTTGCTGCTGAGTTCTGAAAACTGCCCACCTTACAAATGAGGAATCAGAATGTAGAGAAAGTAATGATTTTTTTTTCAAGGTCACACGCCCAGCTAAGATGAACCTAGAACTAGAGTCAAGTCTTAGTTCTAGACCAGAATTCTTCCCACCAGGCCATTGTCTTTACCTTTGTAAGCCTTTAGATCTTGTTCTTACAGAAAACCTCTGCTTCAACAGGCTCTGAGTGCCTCAGTCCCCACTGTGACTGGGTTAACATAGGGTCTTGTTTCCTAACTCAAAGGAGAGAAACGTTTCTATGTAGGAAGAACTATGATTCTTTCTAGCAGAAATTAGCAGAGTAAGTGTTTTTTGAACAACTGCTAACGAGAAGAAGGAAATATGAATAATTTCCTGAAGTGTAAAAGTCTCAAGTGTTTGTATTAGGGTACAAACTACTATATGAACAACACAAAAATCTCAGTAGCTTAAAAAGAAAAAGATTCTTTGATCACATCATAGCCCAGTGGAGGTGAGCTGGGGCAAGGGAGGGCACATGGGGAAGTCATCCAGGGACCGAGGCTTTACTAGTCTAATAGAAAAGAACTGCTGAGCTAGTGGCTTCACCCTTCCCTAGGGCCTTGTAATCTTCCATCAGTTCCTTTGCACCCCGGAGGCCGAGGAGGGAATAATCTTTTATAACGTTGTAGCGGGCAGACTAGAAGTGACTCACATCACTTTTCTCCACAGTCCGTTGACTGGAACTCAGTAATACGGACCCCATCAAACTGCAGCAGAGACGGAAATACAGGCTCTCGGGGTGCCCAGAGGAAAAGAAAACGGGCTTAGCGAACACGTAACATTATTTCTGCGACACTGTCAAACACATTATTTATTAGATTGTATCAATACTACTATTAGTATTGGATTGCACCAATACGATTATTAATATTGGATTGGATTAGTATTGGACTGGATTAGTATTTATGAGATTGTACCAAATACTAAATGAAATAATGATACTAAATGCTACAAATACTGTAAATTTGTAAAAATACAAATACTATTAAAAATGACACATATATTACATTCTATAATACATATAGTAGAAATACCATAAGCGAAATACTCAATGATACAGTGAACCAAAGGCTACACCACTAAATGATATGGTGACAACCATTAAATGACTGAGTGACACACAACGCTACACGATACGGCAACGCAAATACTAAATGATAGACTGACCCTAAATGATCCAGTGATGCGGACAGTCAGTATCTGTTTATGCACAAAGCATCTCCTTGATCCGTCCTGAGAGGAAGAACTGTGCACTGAGAGAAGTGCAGAGGTGGCTGGCTGCAGGGATCGACTCTGCTCCACCCACAAAAAGATGGTTACGTGAGCAACATCATTGGCAAGAAGAGATGAAGAGACAGGATGGAGCCTGTGTTAGAGAAAGCAGTAACAGTGGTTCTCCCATCGTCAGGTAGGAAGACAAAGGCAGCACAGAACTTTACTAGCTTTTTTTTTCTTTGAGACAGGGTCTCACCTTATTGCCCAGGCTGGAATACACTGGTGCAATCACAATTCACTGCAACCTCAACCTCCTGGGCTCAAGGAATCCTGCCTCAGCCTTCCAAGTAGCTAGGCACTACCAGACCTAGCTAATATTTTATTCTTCATAGAGATGGGGTCTTACTATGTTGCCCAGGCTGGTCTTGCACTCCTGGCTTCAAGCCGTCCTCCTGCCTTGGCCTCCCAAAGTGTTGGGATTACAGGCATGAGTCACCACGCCTGCCCTCCTTTTTGAACTTTACTGAAGCTTATGTACAATTTTGCCAGAGTTGTTTTCCAAAATTATCCAACTCTGAAACATTTTAAATAAAAAACAACCAGTTTCCATACCACACATTAAATAAACTGACCTATTAATTGGTTAACATAACCCCTCCTCAATTCTAGGGATAAGATTATGCCTCATTTTGAGGAAGGTGAAAGGCTTGACAGTGAACTGAAATGCAAAGAACACAGTGAGGCTCATGGTTAGGCTGTTATCCCGGACCCCACTACAAACCAGCAGTGGTGGCACTCTGAGCCCTTACCCACTACAAACCAGCAGTGGTGGCACTCTGAGCCCTTACCCACTACAAACCAGCAGTGGTGGCACTCTGAGCCCTTACCCACTACAAACCAGCAGTGGTGGCACTCTGAGCCCTTACCCACTACAAACCAGCAGTGGTGGCACTCTGAGCCCTTACCCACTACAAACCAGCAGTGGTGGCACTCTGAGCCCTTACCCACTACAAACCAGCAGTGGTGGCACTCTGAGCCCTTACCCACTACAAACCAGCAGTGGTGGCACTCTGAGCCCTTACCCACTACAAACCAGCAGTGGTGGCACTCTGAGCCCTTACCCACTACAAACCAGCAGTGGTGGCACTCTGAGCCCTTACCCACTACAAACCAGCAGTGGTGGCACTCTGAGCCCTTACCCACTACAAACCAGCAGTGGTGGCACTCTGAGCCCTTACCCACTACAAACCAGCAGTGGTGGCACTCTGAGCCCTTACCCACTACAAACCAGCAGTGGTGGCACTCTGAGCCCTTACCCACTACAAACCAGCAGTGGTGGCACTCTGAGCCCTTACCCACAGGAGGTTAGATGCCAAAAAGGACTCTGAGGTCAGCCAAGGTGAGCTTGGTGACAGACTCTCCAGACCCCGATAGAACTTGTTTGGCCAAATCTTTCTTTTTTTCTTGGAGCTGTAGGATCTTTTCTTCTACTGTTCCCTCACAAACAAACCTAAAAACAAATAAATAAATAAGGAAACTCAAAAACTCAAAGCAGCACGTCTAATAACATACTCAACTTTTATGGCACTTCAGTTTTTAATCAGGCTTTTTCCTTTAAGTCTTCTTGGATCCAGTTAAGAACCCTCCCTGTTTGAGGGATCTAAACAACCTTGACTAGATATATGTCCATTGGAAAGGATGTGACTCACACTGACATTTTAATATGTTCTGAAGCTAAGGTAACTGAAAAAAAACTCAAAATAAGCAAAAGATATCCCAATCCAAAAAAGCATAGAGATCCAGCTTTCACCCAAAAAGTTCTACCTTGGTAAGTCCATAGGCCTCAAAGGTTATCAGATTTCTGCTAGTTTAAGTAGAGTATCTATTTCCTAGTGAATCCACACTGAAAACAGTTTTAAAACTAAGTAAATGTCACTGTTGTCATTTATTCACTCATTCAAAAGTCCGATTAAGCACTCACTGTACTATGCTAGGTGTGGTTCAAAAGTATTGATTAAGCACTCACTATACCATGCTAGCTGTGGGGACAGAGAGACGAATATGGTCTTGCTCTGAAGCAGAACACAAGTGAGACAGGTGTGAAAATTAATAATGTGACCTGGTAAGTGCTACAGTGGAAGTATGTGGAGTGTGCAAAAGGAGGAAAAGGAGATGTGTCCAGTGTAGTCAGGGAAAGCGCCATTAAAGAGTTAACTCTTAATTTGTGACTTGTATGTTGGGCAAGGGTTTGCCAGAGAGGGCAGTGAGGAGAGCACCCCGGGGAAAGAGAACACGTGCAAAAGCTGGCTTGAGTTTCAGAGCATGGTATAGTGAAGGGAGTTCACATTGACCATGTTGTCCACAATGGCAAAAGCTCAAGAGGCTGGCGGAGCCAGATCACAGGTGGCGGTGCATGTCACGCTAAGACATTTTGATTTGATCCTATGGGAGGGGAGAGCTACTGAAGAATATGAGTGGATGACACATCAGGCTGATCAGTTAGGAAGAGCCCTTTGCTGGTGATGCAGAGGACAGGAGGTAGCTGAGTGGGAAAGCAGGACCTGGCAGTGGGCATGGGAAGGAAGAAATGGTTGTCAGAAACATTTAGAAAATACAGCTAAAGGACTTGGTATGTGGAAAAGAGAGAAAGGTAGGAGGTCTAGTTTCCAGCTAGATAATTAGATAAACAGGGATACTATTCACAGACAATGACTACAGAAGAATAGCAGATTTGAGGTGGTAGGAAGAAAAAAATCAATTTTGATTTGTGACGCTTGGGTACCTGAAACATGTAGTTGTACTTGCTACACAGTGGGTGCGCAAAAGGTATGTTTTATGAGCTGGATGCTCAAATGAACGATGAATAAAGGAGGGAGTAACAGATGAGTATGTGGACACTGGGATTCAGATATTCAGCAGGGGCTGTGATGTTCAAGTCTGAAGTGTAGGAGACCTTGGAACTAAAGATACAGCTTTTGGACTTACTGGAGTGGATAGAATTTATAAAGGAAGGAGCATACAGAATGAGCAGAGAAGAGAGCTAACAGCAGGAAGACTATCATAATCACTATATTTGGCAAAGTCTGGATGTCACTGGTGCCCTTTAGCAAGAGCAATTTCAGGGCAGCAACAGGGGCAAAAGCCAGTTTGCAAAGGCTGAGGATTGAATGGGAAGTAATCAAGTAAAGGCAGGCAGTGACTCCTAATTCTTCAGGAAACCTGGTCATGAAAGGGAAGGAGAAAAACGGCCACTGTGAGAGGGAATTGGTTGCATTAAGGCAGGTTTCGTTGTTTTTAAAGACAAGGGGGTCCAAAATAGGAGGCATTTTGCAAAATAACTGGCTCATGCTCATCAAAATGCCAATGTCGTTCAAACACCAAGACTGAGCTACTGCTCCAGATCAAAGGAGACAAACTTATGACCACTGCATGCTGCCAGGATCTGGGATTCTTCTGTGCTTTGTAGGACACACTGGGACAACTGAGTAAGATCTGTAGATCAGATAGGAGGAGACAAACTTATGACCACTGCATGCGGCCAGGATCTGGGATTCTTCTGTGCTTTGTAGGACACACTGGGACAACCGAGTAAGATCTGTAGATCAGATAGGAGGAGACAAACTTATGACCACTGCATGCGGCCAGGATCTGGGATTCTTCTGTGCTTTGTAGGACACACTGGGACAACTGAGTAAGATCTGTAGATCAGATAGGAGGAGACAAACTTATGACCACTGCATGCGGCCAGGATCTGGGATTCTTCTGTGCTTTGTAGGACATCACTGGGACAAGTGACACTGAGTAAGATCTGTAGATCAGATAGTAGTGTTTTGTTCATTTTAATAACCTGATTTTGATCATTGTATTGTGGTTATATAAGAGAATTCCCTTAATTTTAAGAAATGTACACTTAAGTACTTAGGGACAAAGGAGCATCCGGTCTATAACTTGTTCTCAAGTGGTCCAGAAAAACGTTTATATCCACATGCACACAGAATATGGGAACTTTCTGGTACTATTCTTGCACCTTTTCTGTATGTCTAAAATTATGTCAAAATAAAAGTTAAAAAGCAAAATAAGAGACAGGAGGGTCCTTTCATGGACTGCCCTCGCCGCATGCACAGGCTTGCCCTTCTTTTGCAGTGACCAACTTCAAACTTACTTAAATTTCTGGCTGTGGTTTGCCTGAGGGTTTGCCTCAGGAGCTTCATTAGTAAAGTCATCACCAGATGCTTCACATTTTATTAAGACACTACCCAAGAAAGACTTTCTCAAAGTAGAAGTTGAGAAGGGTCCAGGGTCCTGGGGACCATTACTTACCTGTGTATGACAACATCTTTCTGCTGCCCGACTCGGTAAATTCGGTCACAAGCTTGATCTTCGAGTGATGGATTCCTGTTAGAAGACAGGTAAAGCTCAAAGGAACGGATGCACTAGATCAGAAGCGACCCAACTACGGCCCGTGGGCCAAATCCAGCCCACAGCTTGTTTTGGTAGCTAAAATCGATTATTACATTTTAAAGGGATTTAAGGAAACAAAGCAAAGCAAAACAAAACACACAGATCCTGTGACAGAGAACTATGTGGGCTGCAATGCCTGCAGGAAAAAGGATCTGCTGACCCCTAGCCTAGGCTATACTGGCCTCAGACAAGCTGGTGCCAGGTAACAGGTTGACCTGCTGTCTGGAGAACTGGATCAATGACAGTCCCCAGCAACAGTGCCTGGTGCAGCAGTCTTTGATTGGCATAACTGGAAAACCAGAAACTGGTACTCATTATGAGATTTTTCTGGTAGCTACACACTAACTCGTTCATTTCGTAGCCACGAAAAGATGTGGTTGTACACTACTACATACAATGAATTCAAGGCTGAGGTATTAAGTATATTTGTAACATAATTAGAAAACCCCTATTCCTTTTCCTTTTGGAATAAAGCTTCTCCTTCTCTGCGAAGGTTGAAGTTTCCCTGGGTCCCAGCAAGTATGTCTGGAATACGGTATTCTGGAGAAGAGGTAAAACTGAGCAACGTTAACTCTTAGCAACATTAACTCGTGAAGAGAAGCTTGTGCTCCCAGTTTCCATGGAAACGGATGTTAGATTAACAATAATGTGAATGAACTATTTTGAGTAGTCATTTGAAGGCTTGCTAGCTCAGGAACTCAGGGGAGTCAACTAGCCCTATATCCTGCTTAGATCTGTATCTACCGACACTTAAAAACAGAAGCATCTCGCCAGTATGAACACAGCAATCAACATGAGAAGTCAGTTCCTACTGCCCCTCTCGCCCACTGGCCTCCTTGCTGTGCTGTGACGGCTCAAGACAAATCCAGAATCATTACCAGTGCATGTCCAGAAGAAAGAGATGGTTTCCTCCAGTCAGGTTTAGACCAACACCTCCAGCCAAGAGAGAGATTAGCATTACCTTCCAAGGGAAAACACAACGTTAACTTTGTTAAACAGACTTGGTCTCGAAACACATCTTGGTCTCAGATTTAAGTCCACGATTAATATAGACAAGCACTACAAATTTCCTACTGCTGTTATAAATTTAAACATTATAATGCTATCTCCCATGTCTCACTGTTGAGAAAAATCTCATCACATTTTGTATATGAGTCGACCTCAAAAATTAACTGAGTACCTGCCAAAATATATAAATGCTGTAATTTAGGACCCTGGGGATGGTCAGCTCAATAAACCAGATTATGTTAATTAAAATAACAATTTCCTCAGTCCCTACCCCTCCATTGCTATAATAATTCTCCTGCCTATCATCCATCCAGTGCTTTCCAAATCCTTATCTATAATTAGATGTCTGTATTCTTTCATTTTCTTCCATATTTCCTCATACCAAAACCCCACCTATCCTTCAAAGCTTGTGGCCTCTACAGAGATTCCCCTCATCTAACCAGCTCTGCTCTTAATCTCCTTTTAGTCCTCATATTGTATTCTTTTTAGAATATTTGTGCTCTTTAAAAAATACCCCAATACGTGTCTAAAGTTCTAAACACTTGGAAGAATCAAGCCTGTAAATATTTTTAAGTTGCCATATTAGAATTCTCTTTGTATTGGCAGGCGTAGTGGCTCACGCCTGTAATCCTAGAACTTTGGGAAGCCAAGGCAGGTGGATCACCTGAGGTCAGGAGTTAGAGACCAGCCTGGCCAACATGGTGAAACCCCATCTCTACTAAAAATACTTAGCCAGGCATGGTGGTGGGATCCTGTAATCCCAGCTACTTGGGAGGCTGAGGCAGGAGAATCACTTGAACCCGGGAGGCAGAGGTTGCGGTGAGCCGAGATCACACTATTGCAGTGCAGCCTGGGCAACGAGCAAAATTCCATCTCAAAAAAAAAAACAAAAACAAAAAACAAAAATCAAACAAACAAAATTCTCTCTGTATAACTCAGAACAATTAATGACGCAGCTCTGATGTGACCAGCTTGTACCTGAGGGCCTCTGGAGCGGTTAAATGCCTCTACCAAGTCCATTCTCTGCTTGGGGTTGACAGAGCCATCGATGGTGGCATAAGTCAGTCCATGCTTCTTCAGGTGCAGTGCTACAACTTTCAGCATGCTGGTCCACTGAGAGACAATGACACTGGAAAAAAGAATAAAATAAAAAATACCCTAACATAGATTAAACAAACCCATCTGCTGGGCTTTGACACCCCATCATTCTTAAGATTAGCTATCAAATGTTGACAAGAAAGGCCTCCTACCTAAGGCAGAAGACACACATTTAGCTCGTGTCTTAAGATTATAAGGCTTCCGGTTATTTCTAGATCCTTTCTACAATTTATTTCGTGCTAAATGAAAGTAATGACTCTGGAATTCTTTTATTTGGGGGCCTAGTGCTCATCCAGAAATCTGTGGTCCTGCACAAAAGGGACACTGACCACCCTTCCTGTGCCAGCCCAAACAAGCTACTGAGGCTCCCTCCTGCCCCCATGCTATCTTTATGGAGTTTTAAATTTTTATATTATTTTACATAAACAAATGCAGGTGTATAGCACACATGTTGGGTATAACAAATGACAAAGGAACCTCCTTGCATCTGAGGACCCAGCTTAAGAAGAACATTACCAGTGCTGCTGGAGCCTCCTCCCTCCCCTGCTTCTCCTTCTGTGCTTCTCTACTTTTAAACACTTCTTCAGATGCTTAGCTTCCCCTGATGCTCTAGGGACGTCCTTTTCCATTTGCACCACAAATATTTTAATGAGAAATCACAGGAAATGTGCTGTAACCTCAGTGCTTTATGCTGAACATCACTCGCAGTTCTTGATAGAAAAAAACTAAGATTTTAACTCTCAGCAAAACCAAATTTTCTCGATTAATTATGACCAATACTTGGATAACGAGAAAACGCAGTTACCTCTTTTGGGACCCTGAATTTCGCTGAATTGCCTCCAATTCTGCCAACAGAGATGAAATCTGGGAAAAGGTTACATCAACATTGTATGTTTAAACAGTTCACTTTTATCCATCTCCTCTCACCTGCTGTGTGAAGCCGGCTCCTAGATGGAATCTGTGCTTTTGCCTCACCCGTCTCTATTCCACCTTCCTCTCTGCAGCCAGAAAGCTCTTTCTAAAATATGAGTTTGTCACCTCACCCCTCTGGCTAAAGCCCTTCCACAGCTTCCCACTGAAGATAAAGGGATCCTCAAGGCGGCTTGCCGGATCCTTGCTGCTCCAGCCTCTGCTTACTTCTCTGGGTTAGTCTATGCCCTCCTCAAATGACACAGCAATCAGACCAAAGTTCTTCCTGTAAATTACACCTTGGCCCATCTTGTCCATTCTGTTCCCTCTGCCTAGAATACCCTTTTGTCACAGCTTAATGTCACTTCTTCTTGGAGGTCCTCTCAACCCCCAAAGTACAGGCTAGGTGCCTGCTGCCCATGTGCTATCACAGCACCTTTTGTTTCTGTGGTCACAGTCCTTATCATACCGTATATGAGCTCCTCACACTCCAGTGAAGCAAATCTTAGAAGAGTACTTTCTCTGTTTTGGCCGTGTGTGAGGGGCTGTGAGTACACACGTGGCCGAAACAGAGAAGGTCCTCTCCTAATGTTTGCTGAAGAAAGTGAAACAGCTTTACCGGCTTTGTGGCCTGCCCCCAGATGTCATTGAAGAGGACCCGTCCAGACAGGGGGACAATTGTTAAAGCTTCCGAACAGGATCCCTGGGTAAAGAACCCTTAGGCTGCATTTGAGTCCACAGGGGAGCAGTCAGTAAGAACACATGGGGCATGACTTTGGAATGTAGCTAGGCTCCTTCTTCTCAACTGCTCATGTGAAAAAGCTTTCAAGAGCCTCTAAGGGCCCCAGAGTTCACCCCCAGAATACTGGAGGAGGAAGAAACCTGGGCTGTAAGTCAATCAGGAGACAAATACTCAGAAGTTCTTCCTCTGTCCTCATGTGGCTGAAGCACTTTGGGACTGATTTCTCATCAGTGAAAAGAAGGACATAGGCCAGATGAACTCTGAGGCGCCCTGAGCTCCCACATTCTAGGATGCTGTCAGCGGTCACCACATGGGACTGCCTTCCAATCTTCACAAACTTTCTGTGCCTAGGCAGGAAGTGAGTCACGGGACTGTACCATTCAAATTAGCAGAAAGAAAAGCGGGTACATCTGTTTTTTTAGTTAACGACAGAACAGAGACACTGAGGTGCCTGGTGTCTTGGCAACTTGAGATTGTGGAAGGTGCTGTCACTCCCACATGAGAAAGCTGGCAATGGTGTTTTGAGAAACCAGGAGCCAGAGTCAAATGCCAGTAAGAAGCCTCCTTCCCTACATGAAACGACCTTACGTGGTTTGAACTGTTAATGGACATAGGCTAAGAAAACTTGTGAATAAACATGAACGGTGTTTCATTAAACAAGGAGCACAAATGATTAGGAATGTAAGTTTTAGCCCGACCGCTAACTCTGAAGGCACCAGCATGTGTGTTCTGGCCACATGTGCTGTTCTGTTTCTCTCTGCTATTAGTGTAAATGTTTTAAACTTTTAATTAAAAGGCAGCATTCCTTTTAACAACATAATGCCATTCCCCTGGAAGAGACCTCCTTTCTAGTTATTAATACATTTTTTCAAAAAAAAGCCCTTGAAGAGAGAGAGGTTGAGCCCACAATCGCAGCTTGAGATGCTAAGAGAGAGACAAGCCCCCCTTTCGAGACAGGCAGGACTCAGGTGACAGCACAGCTCAGCCTTCTTCCCGCAGGTTTCTGCCTTAAAAAGCTCTGATGAAAACAGAACAGAATGACTAACGAAGATAGAAGACTACGTAGGAAATGCAGCTCACACACGGAAGCCTTTCAACGAGTCAGAGCACCTGGCGCTCCGATGGATGACACTGTCTGTACAGTCAAGCCGTTGTTTTCCTTTCAAGCTTTCTCCAAACAAAATGCTCACCTGCATAGGCCCTGTACCTAGCACAACCTGGCAAGCTCCCCAGTGACCCATGACAGAAAATGTGCTTCAGTGCAATGCTGGGGATGTCCCAAATTACTCTCTGAAAGCCCCCTATGTAATAAGGCTTTTGTGTTATCTGTGAAATAAATGAAGCTTTAAGACTGAAGGGAGAATCTGATCAGCTGGAATCTAACGGCTCTAGCTCTACTGGCAAATGGACGTTCCCACTTGGACAAATGAGGTGCTGCCACACAGGAAAATGTGTGAGGAACTGACGTCTCTACTGCTACAGAGGAGACAAAATACCTTGGTGCTCTCTCGCGTGTCTTCGAAAATCTCCATCTTGAAGAAGGTGCCGTTAAGGGAGACAGTGGAAGACGGCTCTGAGTCACGGAGTTCTGAAAAGGTCAAAGCGCTGAGCTGCTCCTCCAGGGAAAGGACGAGACCTTCACCCTTCAGTTCCACTGGATCCACAGCCTGAACAGATAAAGAAGGACAGAGCAGTTGGGAGTCACGGCAGCAAACCTTGTTACCTGATGATGTTCTGATTGTTTAACACTTCACAGAGCAAAATGTCTGACAATTTGTCATCGGGAACTCTTCAAGACACCTTGATTAAAGTGTGATCTTGGAAGGTGTTTCACCAGATAAACCAAATGATGGAACTGCCAGAGAGATGGCATAATCATTCCATTTTTCCGAGCTAGAATACATTGAGCTGTGATAATCAGAATATTTATTATAGCTTCTAAAGTGAATAAAATACTTTTAATTTTGGATATGCCTCCATCCAGTGTAGAGACAACTTTTCAGTCTGTATAACTGAGTTTTTATAACTGGAACCCAAAACCCCAATACCGCCCGAAAGCAGAAAACCCCAAGAACTGAATTAGGTTTGTGACATTCTGAAGTACCACAGCATTTACAAAACGGCTTCTTTTTAAACAAAATGTCATTTTCCATTATTAAACAGTTAATATATAACAAAACAAACAATAGACATACATTTTTCTTGATGCCATAGGAATTATCAAGAATATGAGATAAAGCAAAATAAATAAGCCCCCTTTTCTCCAACCCACCAGAAAACAAAAATAGAAAAACCAAAACAGCATTCTTTGATCAAGCAGCCTGGGTCCAAGCTGGAGGAGAGTGCAGCTGACTTCCCGGGCGGCCCCTGGGGGGCCCTGTATGACAGCAGGCTAAGGGCTTCTCTTACCGACTTCAGTAAAGAAGCTGACTTCCCGGGCGGCCCCTGGGGGGCCCTGTATGACAGCAGGCTAAGGGCTTCTCTTACCGACTTCAGTAAAGAAAGGTGACAGCAGCACTGGCGGAGTCTCAGCAGCTGGGACAGTATGTGGACGGTGCTGGATGTCGGCGAGTCTGCTGCCTCAGAGCGTCTAGGCTCCCAGGACCCAAACTCCAGTGCCACTTCCAGGAGGGAAGGCAAGCCACAGGATGGTACAGGATTTAAAACAGAAAAATATGGAGAGAGCCAGGAACTACACGGGGCTACTTTAACCGCGTTTGATCTGAGACTCAGTAATACAGTTATAACTCACTTCTATGCCAATTAGGCCAAAGGAAATAGGGGTTTTTCTTACAGAACTACCATCATTTTAATAAAGCAGATTTAGGAAACAATTAAAAAGAAGTTAAATCCCAGGTCTGGTGTTTGCGGATCAGTAGCTTTTACTCTGGTTTGAGGGTCTCACTTAAGGTCAAATCTCTGATACCAAGGATTCATAACCTCACATGTCTGCATTTTACTGAATCCAGATCCCCATTTTCATCAGCCATATGTATGTATGAGAGTCCTACAGCTTACCTCTACTCAATGGATTATTTTACTGAATCCAGATCCCCATTTTCATCAGCCATGTGTATGTATGAGAGTCCTACAGCTTACCTCTACTGAATGGATTATTTTACTGAATCCAGATCCCCATTTTCATCAGCCATGTGTATGTATGAGAGTCCTACAGCTGACCTCTACTCAATGGATTATTTTACTGAATCCAGATCCCCATTTTCATCAGCCATGTGTATGTATGAGAGTCCTACAGCTTACCTCTACTGAATGGATTATTTTACTGAATCCAGATCCCCATTTTCATCAGCCATGTGTATGTATGAGAGTCCTACAGCTGACCTCTACTCAATGGATTATTTTACTGAATCCAGATCCCCATTTTCATCAGCCATGTGTATGTATGAGAGTCCTACAGCTTACCTCTACTGAATGGATTATTTTACTGAATCCAGATCCCCATTTTCATCAGCCATGTGTATGTATGAGAGTCCTACAGCTTACCTCTACTGAATGGATTATTTTACTGAATCCAGATCCCCATTTTCATCAGCCATGTGTATGTATGAGAGTCCTACAGCTGACCTCTACTGAATGGATTATTTTACTGAATCCAGATCCCCATTTTCATCAGCCATGTGTATGTATGAGAGTCCTACAGCTTACCTCTACTGAATGGATTATTTTACTGAATCCAGATCCCCATTTTCATCAGCCATGTGTATGTTTGAGAGTCCTACAGCTTACCTCTACTGAATGGATTATTTTACTGAATCCAGATCCCCATCTTCATCAGCCATGTGTATGTATGAGAGTCCTACAGCTTACCTCTACTGAATGGATTATTTTACTGAATCCAGATCCCCATTTTCATCAGCCATGTGTATGTATGAGAGTCCGACAGCTTACCTCTACTGAATGGATTATTAGGGCTTCTTCCAGATTGGCTGCCTCTACTTTCATGTCTTTGTAGATAGGATTGCAGAGCTGACCTGCCACAGATTAAAAAAAAAAAAACAAAAACGCATGTATAAAGGTCACTAAGACCTGCTTAACTGTGCCTGCAGTAGGATCTTGGCAAATTAGAGAAGTGGACTTGTTATATGATGCCAAGCTCATAGCAGGCAATGGTCAAAGATAATACAAAAGATACCATTATTTTTAAAAACAATCATTTTTTAAAATAAGCTAGTAAACATAAGGTCTGAAAGAAGAAAACAACATTTACATTGGAAATGAGAGGTATGAAATAGAGACAACAAATCTGGAATTCAGGGACGGGTAAGGGTTCAAGAGACAGTGCAAAGAACAGACGACACAAAAGGATTACAAAGCAATCTTTGTAAAGTTCGAGTGAGATGCTGGGTGACAGGTCAAAGGTCAAAGAGATATGATTATTCAGCGCACCCCATGAGGACCAGACAGATTCGGTATATGGGGACCACACCCTATGACTTCTATGCAAGGAAGCCAATGAAGAGTAGGTTCAAAATTTTGCCTTCAATGTGTGTATGAGACAGAGGTAAACTAGAGAGGGGAGAAGGAAAAAAACAGAGGGGGGGAGCAAAAAAAAAAATGAAATACAGACAGCCACCTAAACAATAATGCCATAAATATAGTTGGTGGAAATTTGACCTTCGACTCACTCCCAAGAAAGGACAGAAATAAAACAATGTGTGTGAGAAGGTACTTCTTCAATACACACACCTTGATCTTGCAAAAAACACATTGTAAACAGTCTCTTCATCTTCAGAAAGCTTTAAATGATGTAACTGAAATTTACGTTGGGGCAGTATCACCTGAAAGAACAAAAGAAAAAAAAAGCTGCCATGAAGCTCTACAAATTAATTGGTGATTACTGAACACATTCGCCAGATGACACTGCAGATCCAGTCAACCCCTGGAATGCAGCTTCCACCCTTTCTTAAACATAGGGCTGCTCCAACACACAGTACAACTGGACTGCTGTGACAGCACGCACGGGACTGCAACCCCGGGGCCTCCTCATAGGAGGACAGGAGACACAGAGGCTCCTGAAGCAACGCAGATGGCTGTTCAACCCAACACAAGAACACAGTCATGCTCCTTCCCTGGCCTCCCCCAGAGACAGGCACAAACGTGATTACCAAAGGTCTGCCAGTAGAGTCCAGCTGCTCTTTGGTTCTCCTCAGCAAAAGGCTCTTGGTTAAAATACTTAACCGTTCCCCTCCTTTCTTTGAGCCATTGTCAACCTGACTCCTCCACAGACTGAACTCATCAAATGGAGAGCAACGGAGAAACCTTTTGTTGAGGACGAAGGGCACAGAGGAGGGAAGGAGAAGTTGGGGAGAATGGAGTAAAGGTTCAGAGTCAGATACAAGATGAAACACAAATCAGATTTTCTGTTACATCTGTATCCAGTCGCTTTAAAAAGTGAATTTCATAGCAAACCTCTGCTGAACAGATCAAAAGGCTGTAAGTCAATAACAAAACCACATTATAAAAATGTGAGTTTTCCTATTAACAACGCCTACATTGTCACAAGACATATAATCAGCAGCTAGAATTTGTTCCAAAGCTTTAGAGGCTAAGAAAGAAATTTCACATCCTCTTATGGCTGACTCGAATAAAAAGAAGGAGTTTATTTTTAATTTTTTTTCTTTAGAGACCGAGGTCTTGCTCTGTCGCCCAGGCTGGAGTCCAGTGGCATAATCATAGCTCACTGCAGCCTTGAACTCCTAGGCTCAAGCGATCCTCCTGCCTCAGCCTCCTGAGCAGCTGAGATCACAGGTGCATACCATTGTGCCTGGCTAATTTTTTTATTTTTTGTAGAGGTGGGGTCTCGTTTTACTGCCCTGGCTAATCTTAAACTCCTGGCTTCAAGCAATCTTCCCACATCAGCCTTCCAAAGTGTGGAGATTACAGGTATGACCCACTGTACTCAGCCAAAAGGACATATTTTTAAATCAGCATTCTCTTCTGTTTGCTTCAAATAAATTGTAGTGCTGACCCTAGACCATGTTTTAAAGCAGAAGTAGCCAAAAACATCCACTGGACTTCAAGCTGTCCTATACTTTTGCATATATAAGGGCTGAATGTAATTAAAGTCCTATATCAACCAATCAAAGCTATTTCCTGATCAACATTTATTCTTTTGTCCTCTAAAGGTTGCCAGGCTTGCCATCTCCCACACAAGATAATCTGGCACACAACGAAGCTTTATTATGAGGCGTGAAATAATGATGAAGGGATTCGGACAGGGTTCACATTTACATCATCACAAGAAGTCACTCACTTCAGCAGTGAATACATATCCAACAAGTTGTTTTGAATGGGAGTTCCAGTGACAGCCCAACGGGCACAGGCTTGTAGCTTGCACACAGCCATGGACGTCTGCACTCGGGGATTCTTAACATTGTGAGCTTCATCCAGTATGATTCGAGCCCAGACTATTCGAAGCAAAGGTGTCGAGGTGCCCTGGAAGAATCACAAGTGAACCCAGCCACGGTATGGGAAAATGCGCATGCCCTCAAGGAAATGAGGGGAAATAGCAGCCAAGTATTGAGGACTCACCTTTACCTTTAAGTTTGCTTAGATCTGGTACACTGAAATAAGAACTAAGAAACCCAAGAGTAAAACCTCTCAACTGGTTCAAATTAGTATGTCATTTGAGAGTCTCAGTCTTTGAACTTAAGATGCCTAAGAGCAAAATGGTTTCTAATTTGAGCTTTCTTTTCTTCTTTAAATCCAACTTAAGCAATGGCTGTAGACCGGGACTACAACCAGGCACTGAACCTGCAAATTCACTCACTCAATACAATATTTATTAAATTTACTAAACATTTTCCAAAAGTCTACTTTTAGATGTGAGATGCTAAGCCAGACGTAAAAAAACAGTTCCTACCCTCTAGAGCTCAAAAGCTAGCAGGGGAAAAAACAAGTGTGAAGATAATTACAATACGATATATATATAGTAAGTCCCACTGGTTAGTTCAATACTGGAAGTGGGAATCTGGCTGCTCTTGATGAAATAGCACCTGACCCACAGCAGATACTCAATGTCTGCTGAAGAAACAAACTTACGACTTATGTAAGCACAAGGTGCTGACGGAGGCATTCAACCAAACCGGGGGAAGGTGGGGAGTGGTCCAGAAAAGATTCTTGAAGCAGGTTTTAAAAAATTAACCTGGGAGAAGGAGTGGCGGCAAAGTATTTCATTCGGAGGGAGAGTAGACACACACTGTGACAGAGCATGGGGGGAACTATAGATCCCTTGGTATGACTGAGCACGAGGTACCCCGAGGAGGGGTAGGGTGTCAGAGAAATGAGCCACATACATACAGGTAGGGCAAGATCATAAAGAGTCTAATATGGCCGGGCGCAGTGGCTCCCGCCTATAATCCCAGCACTTTGGAAAGCCGAGGCAGGTGGATCACCTGAGATCAGGAGTTCTAGACCAGCCTGGCCAACATGGTGAAACCCCATCTCTACTAGAAATACAAATAATTAACTGGGCATTGTGGTGGGCACCTATAATCCCAGCTATTTGGGAGGCTGAAGTAGGAGAAGTGCTTGAACCCCGGAGGCAGAGATTGCAGTGAGCTGAGATCGCACCATTGCACTCCAGCCTGGGTGACAGAGCAAGACTCTGTCTCGAAATCAGTAAGTAAATAAATAAAATAAAGAGCCTAATACATCATGAAAAGAAATTTGGGGTTTAATCCCAAAAGCAGTGGAGATCCACTGAGGAATCTGAAAAGTTCATCATCCGTAAGTCAGAGTTGGTTATAAGCTGCTGAAATATCCTGGAGATCTCTCCAAATACAGAAACCTGTGGATATCCTTTTGTGCTAAAAGGGTAACACACAGAAAGGTGAGTTCTTGGGATGAAACTGAATTTCTGGAGTATAATTACATGATGAAGCCTCTGTATCGTATAACTGAGGCTGCCCTGGACACTCTCAGGTCTTCACGATTGTCACTTAGCCTATGGCCCATTATAGGCCTATTATTTGCAACCCTTTTTTTCTGGGAAGTAAAGGGAGGCAGGAAATGATGCCTTAAAATCAAAATACTAGTAGTAAAATACTAGTCTGCACAATAAATATTAAAACTATAATGTGCATATACCCCAAATAGTGTAAATTAAAATAACAGCAAGTGAGGCTTTCATATATTCAGGTGATTATTACCCCCCATATACAATGTAGTCATCTTTCGTTCCAAAAGGGCAGCTGAATCCTGTGGCATATGTCGACCTTTATCGCATATGATGGCTGTCTGGAATAAGGACGATAGGTCAGAGGAAAGACCGATTCCTGTCCACACGTGGAACATTCACAGCATTCCCGACCTCCCAGGGAGGTCCTCTTGCTATCGTGGAAGCTGTGAAAGACTCCTGTTAAACCATCTGTGGCTCCAACTCCACTTCCCTGGCGGCCCCCCAGCCTCACCTCCACACTGAGGTTTGCACCTGGGATGTTTGCCTCTTGCTTGTTTGTGGGAATCTCCTTGGCCACGAGGCTATAGGTAGTGATCACGATGTCGTATGTAGAGAGGCTGCATAGACATAACAAAGAAAATCAACAAATGGTCCCACTAGAGAGTGACAATGAGAGGGGCAGAGCTGATCTTTCAATAGAAATGCCTCAAATGGAAGGACAAACAGCAGAACTCATTAACTTGTGTCCTTCACGCGCGTGCGTGCGCGCACACACACACGCACACACACACGACTCTGGAAGTAAATTTTCCCCACTTGGCTTCCCCATCTCTTACCTCTGGATCATTTACCATCTGCTCACTGTATCTACCACAGCCCCTCTCTTCCCATCTAATGAGTCAGAAAGAAAAACCTCTGGCTGGGATAATATAATGGTTGATATGATCTGGCCAGAAGCAAGTAGGATAGAGTTGGGAATTAGCATTTCATAATGATTTGAGACAGATGACACCAAAGTCCCAAGGGAGAAAGACACCCTCAAACACTGTTCACCTGATATCAAGGATGCTTTCTTCCTACCACTTTATAATGGATTTGTGAAAATTCGCTGGTATAGTTTGACATTAGGATATAAAAATACATGCTGTAAGCTTTCCGTGCATCTTTTTATACTCATTACATATAAAGATTCTTAATGAGGAACACAAATCGTTTTCTGGTGAAGCTTAATATTGTACATCTGAGAGAACGTCAGTAAATATTTTATTTATTATTTATTTTTTGAGACAAGGTAGGGTCTCTATCCTGTCTCAAAAGTAAAATAAAATAATACAGTATTTACTGAAATTAAAATCCTGCTAATCATAGATCAAGCCAAGTTTATATTAAAAAGGAAAAAAATGTTTACTTATAATTAGCATACTCAGCATCGAAAATGACATAATAGGTGAGTAACCTACCCTGGTCCCCCAGGCTGGATTGTAGGGCCGTGATCTTGGCTCACTGCAACCTCCACCGTCCAGGCTCAACCGAACCGTCCACCTCAGCCTCCCAAGTAAATGGGACCACAAGTACACACTGCCACACCCAACTAGTTTTTGTATTTTTGGTAGAGGCAGGGTTTCACCATGTTGCCTAGGCTGGTCTTGAACTCCTGAGCTCAAGCAATCCGCCTGCCTCGGCCTCCCAAAGTGTTGAGATCACAGGTGCGAGCCACCGTGCCCAGCCCCAAGAGAACATCAGCAAATACTTTTGATAAAAATGATATGCCTAATTCAGAGAAGCAGCAGTATCTATAAGTTACCCTAGCATCATATAAAGAAGTATAATTGAGAATGACTCTAATCAGTCAACTAGTTCATTCTAAATACCAAACAAGTTATGCTCAAAGTACAAATCAAGTGAGATTCAATTTATTTCTAAATAAAAATTGAGAACAAAGGCAGGCAACTCACACTAATCTATGCCAGGGAAGGCCCACAGGCCTGCCGCTGCCACCCTGATGCCTTTTGCCTGCAGAAGCGACTCTCTGTCATGAGAACTGGCGTATCCTAAGACTCAGGGGCACCAATCTGACAACTACCCCTGAAAGACTGTGGCCTTGTTCTTTAGGAGATAAAATATCCAAATTAGGGGCTGGAGAGATAAATTACTTGGAAGTACAAATAACTTCGTTCTCATCCTTGACTACAGCAGCCAGTATTCAACCTGGATCTTTACTGTGCAGTTAGGAACAGAAAACAATTCCTTTAAAATCGAAAGACAAAGACTAGGACGAAGATTACCATGTTGGGAAGCATTTTCTTTCCTTTTTCCTGAGCCTCCCTCTTCAAGTATTTATAGTTAGGGCTAATCGTCCTAAATTCTTGAGTCTAAAACATCTTACATGGTTTATTTATAAAAAGGAGTCATACAAATATAATCAAACTATAGCAACTAATCGTTAGCATTCCACCAAGATGCTCTGTAGAACTGGGCTGGCTCCATTCACACTATATACCCCTGGAATGAGAACTCCAGCAGCTATGAGGGTCTTTGCAACATTTATCTCTTTGACCAGGGGACACTGCTCCCACCTGACTGGCAGCTCAGGGATCTCAGGCCTCCTCACAGAGCAGCTTTTGTTGAGGACAATGACAAGGACACAGCAAAAGATCCTCGGTAGTTCTCAGGATACAAGACAAAGGCTCTGTGGTGATGAGACTGAAGATCTGTCTCTGGCCTTCACAAATATGCATCCTGATGAAGTGAATTCTCAGGGACGGGAGGAAAGGCCCACAGGCGCATGAACAGAGGTGCTGAACGCCCCCGCAACTGCGTATTTCTGCACTTACACTCTGGCACGTGCATCCCGGTTTGGCCCATGGTAGAGACAGACTCTTAGCTTGTTGCTGTTCACCCGTTTTTCCACCTCGTTTTTCCAGTGATGGATCAGGGAGGCAGGACAGATGATTAGTGTTCCATGGGAGGTAAAGTTAGAAGAGTCTTGAGAAGGGAAAAAAATCAATACCTAGTTACAGTCACCAAATGGCTTTTAACTTTTTTTTTTTTTTTTTTTTAAATATACAGAGACATGGGCTTGCTGTGTTACCCAGGCTGGTCTCGAACTCTTGGGCTCAAGTAATCCTCCTGCCTTAGCGTCCCAAAGTGAGATTACAGGTGTGAGTCATCGTGTTTGGCCTTTAACTTAAAGGCATTAGCTCTTCCCCTTGACTGACTTTACTCCTTCAATTAATATGTTTAACCACTGCTCTTATTTCTATACAGAGCCTATAGTGAAACAGGAAATGGAAGAAATGGTCTTTTAAACTTGAAACACTTCATTACTTGTTTTCTCCACTGAAAGTACAGGCAGAAAGAGAGGCTAAATAGGGGGAGGAAAATGTGTGGCACATAACCTCAGTGTAAAAAAGCAATGCGCTCTCACAGAGCGGCCAAAGGGGAAAGCTGGATCATTTCCTAACTCCTCGGAGTTGACTCATTATAGGGGAGTATGGAGTATTGTTATTTTTTCTGAAAAGCATAACGATGTACTTCTACCTTAAAATTAAATACAGAAAACTTTTTTTTCTAAAATAAGCAAACATAGGTTTGGAACCAATTAGTGATGGTTTGTTTATACCACGGCCCCTCATCTCTGCATGTGTGTGTGTGCTTATGCTACTCACACATGCTGCTACTACACACGAAGGGATACAGGACCCAGCTGCAACAGTGCTCACTAGAGGCCCTGAGAGCAGATGCCACAGATTTTTAACCTACCTGAGCAACTGAGCACTCTGCTTGAATACACAGCAATTTACATGTAGTGTTATCTATACATAACATAATCTTTAAAGTACTTATAAAGTGATTACTTTTTATTTAACTTTTCTTTTAAGAGACAGTATTTTGCTATGTTGCCCAGGTTGGCCTCAAGCTCCCGGGCTCAAGCAATTCTCCTGCCTCTCCTTCCTCAGTTGGGACTACAGGTGCATACCAATGTGTCTGACTAAAGTTATTATGTTTTAAAAACATATGCTGAGATAAGATAGAAATTGTCTATAATCTAGGAACTTTTAGAATTTCAGAAACATGGAAAATAGCTTCCACTACAGTGACTAAGATGTGAATATGTGACAGACCTTCCTTAAAAAAAAAAATCAATTAATTTGAATCTACCCCACAGTTATTTCTTCAATATTTACAAAGATAGTAACTATTGGCCAGGCATGGTGGCTCACCCCTATAATCCCAGCACTTTGGAAAGCCGAGGCAGGGTGACTGCTTGAGCCCGTTGTTTGGCACTAGCCTGGGCAACACGGTGAGACTCTCTCTACAAAAATTAAAAAATAGCTGGGTGTGGTGATGCACACCTGTGGTTTCAGCTACTTAGGAGGCTGAGGTGGGAGAATCGCTTGAGCCCAGGAGGTTGAGGCTGTAGTAAGCTATGTTCATGCCATGGCACTCCAGCCTCGGCAACAGAGTGAGATGAGACCCTGCCTCAAAAAATAATTATTATTATGCTTAAACTAAGTCTTCTAGCCTCAGCTTTCTCCATAAGATTCTGCCTATCACAGATCAAGTCAAGTTTACATTAAAAGAGAACAAATAATCATTTATAATTAGCATATTCAGCATCAGAAATGATACAATAGGGGAGTAATCCAATACTGGTTTCCCAGTAGAGTAATTAAATATAACCAAAGCTGAAAACGTGCTGTAGCTGAAAACGTTCCCCTCTTGGCTGGCTCAAATGACGCAGGGGATGGCAGGCTATGAAGGCATTTCTGTCTACCATCTTTGGAGAGCCACGTCAAAGCTGTGCTTTTCTCCTTTTCTCTGTTTTTCTCTTGATTCTTCTGGGTCAGGATGAGTGCAATCATTGTCAGGGTTTTTCCTAAGCCCATATCATCCGCTAGAAAATAAAAGGAAAATTAAGAGAGTTAATTGCTTAAGGCAAAGAATCCAGGGAAACCATTGGCAGACATTTACCCCCGTTCTCCATGCTGTCAGTGCCAGTCCAGTCACTACTCTGTGCCGACCTTAGCAGTTAACTTGGTCTTCCTTATTCCGTGGAACCCCAGCACTTGCTGTTGACTTTGAGATCTAGGTCCAAGACATTTACTATGACTCTTATAAAATTTAAAACTTACAGTTTGGATCTTATTCTAGTCCCTGTGTTACGTTGTTACCTGTGTAATGTGCTGGTTATCTTATTACAGTTTGATGATCTGTTACCTCCAAAAGTAAAAAATGTCCAGTAGATCCATCCCACTACTTACTGGACTGCTACCAGAACATTTCTGGAATTAAAATAGCCTTCCATTCCCTTAACTTATTCATCGAAAGAGACATAAATGAACATTTCTTGGGTACTGTCATCGTACCAATCACTGAGCTTATCTAATTTATTATTCATACGCTAAGGAGTACTATTCTCATTTTAACAGACTGTAACACTGAGGCTACTATACCCATTCAAAATACTCATTCTGCCCTAGCAGAAGTCGAATGTCAGAGCATGGGCTCTGATTTAAAATTCTGGCTCTGCTACTGTCCAGAAAAAGAATTAACATACCAGGCCCGTAGGGTCACCTGCTATCCTTTGAAAGGCCTCTTACAAGGTTGCCTTTGGAAACTTGGATTTAAGGTAAGAGTTGATCACTCTGCCTAAATTGTTTGTACAAACAATATGATTTATGTTGAATGTCTGCTTTCCTTCTAGGAATAAAAAAACTTGGTACATACCAGGCTAAAGCCACCTATGTAACCAGCCGAACCCACCTATGTAACCAGCCCCCAGTAAAAACCTTGGGCACCAAATCTCTAATGAGCTTCCTAGGAAACATTTCACACTGTTGTCACAGCTCCCTGCTGGGAGAATTAAGCATGTCCCATGTGACTCCACTGGGAGGACCCTGGAAGCCTGTACCTGGTTTCCCCTGGATTTTACCCCTGTGCCTTTCCCCTTTGTTGATTTTGATCTGTATTCTTGCACTGTAAGAAATCATAGCTGTGAGTATGACCATATGCTGGGAACCCAGAGGTGGCCTTGAGGACCACTGACACAGTCACTTAGTAGACACAGCGGACATCTAACATGGTTTCTCAAAGTTGGGCACCTTGGAAAATTTGAGCCTGACAAGTCCCCAAAGCAGAGTGGAAAACTTGCTTTCTGGCTTCGGTTGCAGCTAAGGTGCTGGAAATATGACCCGGCTCTGTATATCAGATATTCTCATAAGCGTCTTTAATTCAGGCATAAGAAGCTTTAGAAAGAAACTCCCCGTAAAACCCTTTTTGCAGGAAAGAGTGGCTATAGAAAAAACTGACTTTGGGGTGGCACTGGTTACCTCTAGCGCTCAGTGAAGCAAAGAAGCTGCAATGCTTTTTATAGATGACTTAGGCCAGGCACGGTGGCTCACACCTGTAGTCCCAGCACTTTGGGAGGCCGAGGCAGGTGGATCACCTGAGGTCAGGAGTTCAAGACCAGTCTGCCCAACATGGCGAAACCCCATCTCTACTAAAAATACAAAAACTTAGCTGGGCATGGTGGCAGGCACCTGTAATCCCAGCTCCTTTGGAGGCTGAGGCAGGACAATTGCTTGAACCAGGGAGGCGGAGGTTGCAGTGAGCCGAGATGGTGCCACTGTACTCCAGCCTGGGCAAAAAGAGCAAAACTACATTTCAAAAAAAAAAAAAACAAAAAAACAGGGAGGCAACAGACTACTGTTTGTGTATTGGCTGTAACCAGGCTCCTGAAACTGGCCTGGAGTCTGGCACTCCACATCTCCCAGAGATTGTGGGAGCCACCAAATAATAAACTCCCCCTCTGCTTAGTGAGCCGGAGTCAGCTTCTCCTGCTGGCACTCAGCACCTCTGATCCTACAGCTGTGTACTCTGGAGCAAGTTGCTTAACCCTTCCGTGCTTCCCTTTCGTCATCTGTAAAAGGAGGAGCGATAGTACCTGCCTCGCAGAGCTCTTGAAGATTAAGTGAAACAACGCGATGCGTTTAGCACGATGCTGAGCATTCAGTACAGCTGGCTCTTGTAACAGCACACTTACCCAGAATTCCTCCTTGTGGCTTCTGACTTTCCCGCCATAGTAACCAAGCCAATGCCTGCTTCTGGTGTAGTAGCAAGGGGACCTGACAAAGGTAATAACCAAATGCTAAGCACAAATTCCTAGTGAGAGGCTCTGCCGAGCCTGGCTACACGAACTCTACGCTCTACTCTTTTATTTCCACAAGTGATCCCCTCGGTATTCTAACTGTCCTCACGTAGACCATTCCTTTCACCCTGAAGTCCTTAACAGCACCCTCTTTTTGAGCATAACCATCCTGTCCTGGTCTGCCCCTGTTTGTTTCCGGTTGCATCCAATGTTAGGCATTTCTATTAAGAGTCCCTCCCACACCCTAAGGGAAAGTGCTGCTTTGTCTGCTTCAACAGTCAGAATCTTTCTCTACAGCTTTAATTTTTTTATCTTTATTTTATTCAGACAGTCTTGCTCTGTCGCCCAGGCTGGAGTGCAGTGGCATGATCTCAGCTCACTGCAGCCTCTGCCTCCCAAGTTCAAGCAATTCTGCTGCCTCAGTCCCCCGAGTAGCTGGGAGCAATTCTCCTGCCTCAGCCCCCCCGAGTAGCTGGGATTACAGGTGCATGCCACCATGCCCAGCTAATTTTTGTATTTTTAGTAGAGACAGGGTTTCACCATGTTGGCCAGGCTGGTCTTGAACTCCTGGCCTCAAGTGATCTGCTCGCCTGAGCCTCCCAAAGTGCTGGGACTATAGGTGTGAGCCACTGCACCCAGCTCTATGCTTTTGACCAAGACCTCTGATGCTACTTTCAGCAGCCATTAGGTTGGCTTTTCATCATTTCCTCATTATCTCTTAAATTTGCCTCTCTTTTCTGCAGCCAGAGTCCCAGTCTGCACTACTAGTCATAAATTTCAACAGCCCTTTGACCAGAGTCCCCCTTCTAGTCCTTCTGTACTCCAGTTTATCTTGTGCTCTCTGAGAAAAACTAATCTTCATCCACCATCCCTGCTTGAATGCTACAGCGATTCCACACTATCTCTTGAGCTCTTCAGATCTGATCCTTCACCAAGGCCAGGCTCCTACGCAGTAAGCCACCTGCTACTGCAGGCTCAGGTACTGATGACACCGGGTCATCACTTAATATCAATCTCTTTATCGTCCCACTAATCACCACTCCCTCTAATTGCAGTGTTTCCTTCCTTTCTTCTCTGCTATCTCAAGGCTTTCAATTCCTTGAAGGCACAAAGTAGGCAGACAACAAATAACCGCTAGTCTAGAATGACGTTTCCTTTCATCTGAATCCCTTTGGTACTTTACGGTATACTACAAGGCACACTTTAATTCTGCCTGAAAGCCTTTGCTAATTGTTTCACATACATTGCATATGTGTCTTCATCCCAACTAGTTCATTACCTGCAGCAATTCTTTCACAGTCTTGTGGCATCTACCAGCTCAGTAAATGAATCCTGTGTTCTATAGAACTATGTAACTGTATGACTTTTTTAAAAAGGGGTTTCGTTGTTATTGTTTGCACTGTTAAGCATAAAAGGAGAGGATTCTGCAAGCGAAGCCATTAAAGCATCTGTCTGTACGGAAGGCATCTCAGAGAGCCTCCCTGCCAGCAGCGTCACGGGCTGCCGGAGCACTGTCGTAGGAGACTGCACCTTGAGCCTTCCCTGGCTCACCTTCAGCCCAGCGGGATCTTCTGCCACGGCGGTCTCACCAGGACGTGACTCCAGTGAGCGATGCAGCTCATCAATGGCTTCACTTGTGATCTTCCACACTGGGTGAACGTGATCTTGGTTTGCATGTTCTGCATACAAATAGGTGTTACCTAAAAGATGTCACAAGTATGTTTTCCTTATTCCTTTAGAGTATCCTTAGCACAAATGGCCCTGTATCTATTTCTTACCCTCCTTGTAAAAAAGGATCATTCTTCTCAACTTTCTACTTCTCTAGCAGTTCTCAGTCGGGAGACAACTGACTTTTGCTTTTCTAGTCACTGCCAGCCAACCCAAGCTCCTATCTCCTGATCAGTTTCCTGTCAACTGATCCTATTACACATTTCAGTTCTTCTCGGAATCTTCATTGTGCAGTTACTTCCGAATTCAAAGTTGTCTAGAAAGTTCAGGAAGGAACACTTAGCTAATAGGGTGTTATTGCTCTCTGTGGATCTATTAGTCATCAGTCTTGACTCACGTCTCTCCTCAGTCTTACACACACACACACACACACACACACACACACACACACGAAGGAATAAGAACATATCTGCAGGTCTGCCTACCTCATAATGATGTGAGCTAGAGTTTCCATCCACAAATACTGACTGGATGACTCCTATGTGCCAGCCCAGCGGGCTGACTAATCAGCATACAGTGGTGAGCAAGGCAGACACTGTCTGTGCCCTCACTGAGAGCTAAGTAACACCGTAAAGCTCTACTGTGCAGCGCAATCTTTATTGTGCGGGCAACTTATGACCTAAGAATGGCTTCTCCCCTCGTGTGGGCACTAGGTCATCTATAGTAGTCCCCTCTTATCCACAGGGCATATGTTACAAGACTCCCAGTGCATGCTTGAAACTGTGGATGATACTGAACCCTACACATACTGTTTTTTTTCCCCCATACATACAAACCTATGATAAACTTCAATTAATAAATTAGGGACAGGAAGAGTTTAACAACAAAACGGAATAACTGTAACAATATACTGTCATAAAAGTTATGTGCAGGTGGTCTCCGTCTCTTTCTGTCTCAAAATATCTTACTGTGCTGTACTCACCTCTTTCTGGACCACAGGTGATCAAGGGTAACTGAGCGTGTGCATAAGAGGTGACTACCGTACCAGGTGGCACGTAACTCACAGGGGTGGCTGTTCAGAGCAGGGCCAGGCCCTTGGGTCTTACCTGGATAGCACTGACTGGATCCTCCAGCAGTCACCTGGCAGGCAGACTTCAGTCCTAGAGAACCCACAGATTGGGTACCACGACCAGGAAGGGGTTGGGGAGGCACCTGGTGGGGAGGCTCCGTGGTGGTTTTGGTGAAGTGACTCTGCTCTGGTACTTGAGTGTTACTCTTCTCACTAGTTCCTGTTCAGAAAACAACGGAAGAGCAGATTAAAGTTCAGCAAACTAAGGGAAGGGATCCTGTGTGTGGAGGTGAGGACAAGAGAGGGGTCATCACCATTCCAATGCAGGCTTCCTAGAGAAAGTAGCATTTTAACAGCTGCTTACACAATGGGGAAGAAAGTTCAGTCCACAGGAAATAGGAGAAAAGTTTTTTTTGTTGCTATTTTTTTTGATACAAAGTTTCGCTCTCATTGCCCAGGTTGGAATGCAATGACCCGATCTCTGCTCACCATAACCTCCGCCTCCCAGGTTCAAGCGATTCCCCTGCCTCAGCCTCCCGAGTAGCTGGGATTACAGGCATGCACCACCACGCTGGGCTAATTTTGTATTTTCAGTAGACACAGGCTTTCTCCATATTGGTCAGACTGGTCTCGAACTCCCAACCTCTGATGTTCTGCCCGACTCAGTCTCCCAAAGTGCTGGGATTACAGGTGTGAGTCACTGTGCCCGGCAGGGAGAGTTTTTCTATGAACCATAGGTGTAATGTAAACGAAGGCTCAGAAGCAGGTAATAAAATGGAAAAGTGAAAGCATCAACACATTCTTTACCAAAAGTGCTTCCCAAATCCCTCTTGTAAAGTCCATGCAAACCCTGAGTTCTGAGGCATAAGCCACTTTACCTTGCTCTGGGGAAAGGGCAAGACCACCGAGGGCTTCCTCCAGCTCCTGGATCTGTTTGATCAACTTCTGACCCTTGTCTGGAAGAGCGTGGACGTTCACTGATGCCAGTGTGCTCTGGAAAACAGATCCCATCAAATGGATCTCTCCTCTCACATTGTTAGATGACTAGTTTCAGATTAAAATAGCCTGAAACGCCCAAACTCTGAAATTATGTTCTTTTTATGTGTGTAAAAACCTGAATCTTTTTTAAAATTTTAACCCAGCTGGCTTACCAATCTTGAAAATATAAATACGGGAAAAGGCAGCAACTGAACATGCACCTACTAAAACCTTCACATGAACATATTGAACCCTCTGTAGCAATGAGATGAGATGTCCTATCTGCCCATAGCAAGCAATGCTCTGACCTCAAAAAACACGAGTCAAGAGTTACCTTCTTTTGCTTCAGTTGTGTTGTCAGGTAGACACGCTGGGCTGCTGGGTCTGAGGGTTCTACCTTCTTGGAAGCATCTGAAGCAGGAGGTACCTTTCTTTGCACACTTCGATCAGAGAATTGGAGGTTCTCCTTCCTCTGTAAGTCCAGAGCTGAGTCAAAGAGTAGGGGGCTCGCAGGCTTAGAGGAAACGAAAACATTAGCTTCCTCCTCCTCATCGCTGCTCGTGGCAGCTTCACGGCCCTCACCCAGGGAAAGCCGTGGTGCTGCTGTTGCGGCCTGAGCCACTGGTCCTCCAGGAGCAGGCACGCCGTGGGTCTCTGGGCTCTCTTGGAGATGCTCCCGGGGCAGGATTTTCTGGGTGGCCTGTGTGCTGGGATCAGCCTTTGCCTTTGTTTCTTTAGCCTCCCAGTCCTTGTACTCCTTGCTGAGGGGGCCCCCTTTCTGGGATTTGCTCACTGGGTTTTGACTGTTAACTCCTTGAGGCAAAAGCTGGGTCTCCTTTTCTCTCAGAGGTTCTGATTCTCTTTGGACATCTTGACTCTTCCCACTTGAGTTCTCCCGAGAAGATGCAGACGACCTTGTCAGCTCATTATGGTGGCACTGTTCGGATCTAATTTCAGAAAAGTTTCTTGTGCGTGTGCCTCCAGTCTCCTCCGCCTCCCGATGAATCTCTGCTCCCTCCTCTTGCTTCTTCTCTTGAACTACAGGCTGTGTTTTCTTCAGCACCAGGCCAGAGGAGAGATCTTTCTCCATTGGTTCAGGCTTCGGTGCCTTCTTTTGATCCGAGAGCTGATCTCCCTTTTCTCTTTGCCTCTCATCAGACGTCTTTTCCTCACCGTCACGTTTGATGAGCTGTTTCCAGAGCGCTGGTTCTTGATTCTTGTCAAGTACCTTGAATGGATTTCTAGGCCGGCTGGAAGGATGATGAAATGTCTCAGATGCATGCTGAGACTTACTGGGTACAGAATGTTCTTTGGAATCAGGGTCCTAAAGACAAAACAATTAATCTTCATATAAAATATTCATGCAAACTTCGTCTCTAGAATGCCTTTCCTTTTCATCTCAACCTTTATTTTACATACAGGGGTACACGTGCAGCTTCGTTATATGAGTATATTGCACTCAGGCAGTGAGCACAGTACCCAGTAGATAGTTCTTAACCCATGCCCTCCTCCCCCCGTAGTAGTTCACAGTATCTATTGTTCCTGCGTTGATGGGAGCTCAATGTTTAGCTCCTGCTTTAAGTAAGAACATGTGATACTTGGTTTTCTGTTCCTATGTTAATTCACTTAGGATTATTTTGTAGAAGAAATGGAAACACAGTAAAAGCAGTCCTATATTTTCTGAACATTCTTGGTATCATTTCTGTGTCTACAAGACAACACACCAAACCCACAAAGGACTCATTTCTTATCAGTACTTTCAACAGTGCCTTCTGTCCACGATCACACTTTTCCAGGCCTCAAGGAAAAGCAGTGACCAAACCCAAGTGCTTTGACATCACAACAGCCACAGTGTATACTTTTCAGGAGAACTACCTTAAGATGAACTTTTCCCCAAACGTAAACATTGTCTTAAAATGCTTGCTTTGATTTTGGCTGTAGGAAGATTTTACTGTGGTAACCTAGAACCGTAAGTTCAAGCCAAACATCTACTAAAACAAGTCTTAGCCCCTCCCTAATTCTAGTTCCTCATATACTGAGTATCTGTAGGGCTTCTCCTATTAGGAGGCGCTGTTCCTCCTGTTCTCACATTCTAGGAGCTTATGAATTAGACTTAGCTTATACCATTATCAAGTAGAAATTCCTCTATTAACAGATACAAGAGTTAGTCAAGGAAATCTAATTTTTTTCTTAACTAAAAGAATACTGGCTGGGCATGGTGGCTCACGCCTGTAATCCCAGCACTTTGGGAGGCTGAGGCGGGTGGATCACGAGGTCAAGAGATCGAGACCATCCTGGTCAACATGGTGAAACCCCGTCTCTAATAAAGATACAAAAAATTAGCTGGGCATGGTGGCGCGTGCCTGTAATCCCAGCTACTCAGGAGGCCGAGGCAGGAGAATTGCCTGAACCCAGGAGGTGGAGGTTGCAGTGAGCAGAGATGGTGCCATTGCACTCCAGCCTGGGTAACAAGAGCGAAACTCCGTCTCAAAAAAAAAAAAAAGAATACTGACTGCATTTAAGACCTCAAAAATATTTAGTAAGTGAAATAGGATGCAAATGATGCAAACAATTCATCTTGATTACAACCAAATGATCCTTTGAATTAAAGTCCCAACAGGGCCTACCTTGCTTAAGGAAAACTATCTTTCAGAGACAGTTCGATGAAGCCCAACTCGTTTGTGTGAACTTCAAGGCCTTTTCAGGTGAAACTGCTTAGTAAGAGTCTTAACACAGCAGGTTTGAAAACAGATGAATAATTCCTACCTGCCATGGAATACTTCCACACCAGTGTTTCCCCGCTGCCTTACTTCTAATGCACCGGAAGAACAATCTGATGGAGTATAAAACACAAATAATCAACGCTATGAAAATCCGTTAGAACAAGAGATAAACTTATTTTTAATCCGAGAAAACATCTTGCAACTATTTGATACTGCCTTTGGGAGGTCACTTGAAACCAATTACGTTTACATACACATTTAAAAATCATTTACTGCATAGAACATGTTATATTTTATTTATATATTATATATTATTTTATATTAAAAATTATTTACTGCACAGAACGTTATATTTTATATATTTTATATTAAAATTATTTACTGCACAGAACATGTTATATTTTAATTATATATTATTTTATATTAAAAATTATTTACTGCACAGAACATGTTATATTTTATATACTATTATATATTATTTTATATTAAAAATTGTTTACTGCACAGAACATGTTATATTTTATTTATATATTATATATTATTTTATATTAAAAATTATTTACTGCACAGAACATGTTATATTTTATTTATATATTATATAGTATTATATACTAAAAATTGTTTACTGCACAGAACATTTTATAAGGGCTGGGGGGGGGGGTCGAAGAATAAATATGCCATGGTAGCCAGAGAGTGCGCACAGGTTTATTCTTCTTAGTCTGTGAAGAATGACTGAAATAGAAACACTGATCAGCAATGGCCACTAAAATCAGAAACATGAGAGAGAACCAGACACTGTGTGTCCCTGAAGGGGGGCCACCACACTAGCTATACAGCAATGTCGCCCCAAATCCCTAAAACCACCAAGCCCAAACAAACACAAAACTAACCTCTGGATCCAGTTGCCAGTCTGTAGGAAGTGTAAACAACCGAAGAATGCATAAAGTGGGAAATACAATCTGCAAAATCTTGCAGTGGGAAGTGCTTTAGGACAAACAACCCGATCCCTTCCATAGATAAGCCACAAGGGAGGAAAAACTTAAGACACTTAAAAGGCATATTCATCAATTCCAATTTGTGAACCTTATTTGGATCCTGATTTACACAAATAAACAAAAACTACTAAAAAAAAACTATGACATTTATGAATCCACTGAAAATGTATCTACCAACTGGTATGTTAAGAAGGAGTCCAGCTGGAGGCAGCGGCACACACCTGTAGTCCCGTCTACTCAGCCGGGTGAGACAGGAGGATCACCTGAGGTCAGGGCTGTGGTGTGCTAAGATTATGCCTGTGAATAGCCACTGCATTCAAACCTGGGCAACATAGCAAGACTCCCTTCTCTAAAACATAAAAATACTTTTTAAAAAATAGTCCATATCTTTTAAAGCTACATACTAAAATATGGACAGACGAAATAATGTTACCTGGGATTTCTTTCAAAACAGGGCAGGACTTATGGGGTGAAGTGGATAGGATACACAGAACGGGGTAGCCATGAGCGGGCAATTGTTGAAGCTCATGTTACAGTACTCTGTCTTCCTTCTGTATATATTTATACTCTTCCACCAAAAAAGGCCGAATGCAGACTTCACATCCCGGTGTAAGAAGTTCCTGTACACACAAACACAGCCCATACTCCAGCTATCCCGAGGCGTCTATGCTGTTCCCTTCCCAAACTAAGCCATGCACCCTCCAGCCTACCTGACTTTGCATGGGTACTATTTTCCATCCAGAGGATATCCTCTCATCTCTGTCTGTCCACCCTCTCCCCCAACTCCAGCTACAGAAGTCCTACTGGTCTCTCAAGGCCCAGCTTAAGTCGTACCTGCTTGGCAAGGTTTCCCCACATTCCCTTCCCTGTTTATCTATGAACTGCCTCTGTGCTATTACTTTTAGTGGAAAAAAAACACAATTACATTTACACCAACCTAATAAAGCTGACTGTCCAGCTATAAAATATAGCTAGCTATCCAAATATATTTTCAGCTACGAGAGGGCAAAAACCACATATGATCTCTTTATTCCCAAGTATCCCTTGCCTGTTGTACGTAATTAAGTACTACTGCATAAAATAGATCTGATTTATGTCATTACCTAAAATAACTCCTCAAAAACTTTTAATTGAAAACCTTTAAAAATATGTATTTTGTTTATTGAAATGGGTAATGTGTTGTTTTAAAGTATTAAAAAGGCAGTGAGAAGCCCCCTCACACCCTATCTGCCCAGCTCACTTCCCTCCCAACATGTAATCACTCATTAGTTTTTCGTTTACCTTTCCAGAGATTTTTAAATGCACATTCAAGTCAATATAAATATATTCTTCCTTCCTCCTCTACACAAATGGGTAGCATAACATATGTACTGCTAAATACCATGCGTTTCTTTTTTTACCTAATAAATGCCTTGAAAATTTTTCTATAAGAACGTACATGTAAAGAAGTTCCTTGTTTTTATTATTTTTTTTACAGCTGCACTTTCTCACTACATGGGACGTTGCATTGTTTTTAATCAGAACCCTCTTGATTGATGGTTCGGCTGTTTCTCATCCTTTACTATTAAAAGCAGTGGCACAATGAGTGAAACTGCCAATAGGTCATTTCTTTTTTTTTGAGACGGAGTTTCGCTCTTGTTACCCAGGCTGGAGTGCAATGGCGTGATCTCGGCTCACCGCAACCTCCGCCTCCTGGGTTCAGGCAATTCTCCTGCCTCAGCCTCCTGAGTAGCTGGGATTACAGGCACACGCCACCATGCCCAGCTAATTTTTGTATTTTTAGTAGAGACGGGGTTTCACCATGTTGACCAGGATGGTCTCGATCTCTTGACCTCGTGATCCACCCGCCTCGGCCTCCCAAAGTGCTGGGATTACAGGCTTGAGCCACCGCGCCCGGCCTGCCAATAGGTCATTTCACGTGTGTTTCAATACACCTGTGGTGCAGCTCCTTATTTTCATATTGTGTATTTGTGCTGTTTTTCTTGACCACGTTAGCCTTTGATTTTCTGTATCAATTCTCTCTATGCTGCTTTCTAACTCATTAAATGCAATTTTTACCAACATTAATTCCTTTCTTCTGCTTTCCCTTCAGTTTAATTTACTGTTCTTTTTCTACCTTCTTAAATTAGTCCATGATGTACAGCATGAATCCCAACAGTCTGTATCCTAATTCAGAAGGAGTCCTGAGCGGGTCCTGGTCCCTCGATGCCGCTACTTCACGAGGACACATAAACAAAGGTAAGTAAGCCCCAAATAGACAAGTGGTCCATAAAAGTTAAGCGAAAAAAAACAGGTCCAGCCCCTCCCCCTTGTACAAACACAATTTTCCCACCCAAGTTCACAATTTTTGGAATCTTACTGGTTTCTTTAATTTTTCTCTCTGTAATAGGATATTAAACATATGTAATACAATTTCTGAAATGCTTAGAATGCATAAAATTCAAAGTAGCAGCTGCCATCGGTGGGTGCTACTATTTATAGAAATAAATCAGGAACAAATCCCTGCTGCTGTTTAAAGCATATCAAGTACTTGAAGTCTTTACTGAAAGAATGTTTCACAAGTGCAGTCACGTGCTGCATAATGATGTTTCAGCCACTGTGGTCCCATGAGATGATAAAGCTGTATCTTTACATTTTCTTTATTTAGATACACAAATACTTAGCACTGTGTTACAAATGCCTGCAGTATTCAGTATCGTAACACACCGTACAGGTCTGTAGCCTAGGTACGCATTAGGCTATACCAAGTACGTTTGTCTAAGTTCATGTTCGCACAACATTGAAATCTCCTAGTGACGCATTTCTCAGAATATATCCCCATTGTTAAGTGACTCATGACTGTAGTGTCTACTTCAGAACTCATGCCACGTATACTTTCAGGAGAAGGGCAAGATTTGGAGAAAGAAGGAAGAAAACACACTGAACATCTGCTATATGCTAGGCACAGTGCTAAAAATGCTTTCCCTTACGTTTTTAATTAAAATCAATCTGGATGGGCTTCTCTGATTTTAGGATAAAAAGTTTCTGTTTGTTATGTTTATTATATTGTAAATCAACAAAGAATGAAGTAGACAATATTTTCACAGAGAAAGCAAACATAAATTTCACTATAAAGAATAGCATTAATTTCTGCAGTATGTTAATTACTTGTTTTCCAGGACAGAGGTTATAGGCAATAATGATGAAGAAACCAGCCAGAGGAAGCCAGACCTCTTGAATCCTGTCTTCTTCACCGAAACACAAATCCTCCCTTCTTCCCAAAGGTAACTGTCCAACCCAGTATCGCATTGCCAAGTGCATTACTTTAGCAAGACTACGGTTCTCTCAGGCTCCAGGAACTATCCTCTCTTGGTTCGAATCCCAGCCCTACCATATAATTAGTTCTGAAACATCAGGTGCTTGACTTGATTACCCCTGTGGCAGTTTCCTTGTCTGTAAAATGGCAAAATAATATAGTACACATCCTCATATGGTCATGATGAGACACAATCAGAGCAAAGCCTGATACATACCGGGTCTTAAGAGAAGACAGCAATGCCCAGACCACTCTTGCTGATCACCCTGCTCGTTCCTATGTCCACACTTCTGCTGAAGCTGTTCTGCTTCAACACTTCCTTGTCCTTTCCTCCATTAAAAATTCACTTTTGATGAATTCCATTTTGATGTCAAGGTCATTCAAGGACAACTTCAAGTCTCAACTCCTCCACTTTCTCTAACCTTCCTAGCCCTGAACTGTGCGTCTTGGAGTCACAGAACCACCTGGTATCTGAATGTCTTCAATTTAGCACTCTACTGTGCAGAAGAGACTGCACCCCAATCTTGGTACGCCTAACTTATTCCAGGTGTGTCAAACATTCCTTAGGGATTATGAGTTCACGCCTTTACATGCTCCAGCTCTGGAAAAACATAAAGCTGAATTTCTACCTCATTCTTTTGCATGAACATTCAAGATGGGAAAAAAAATGTAAAAGTAAAAAACAAAATTGCAAATGTTCTAAGGAAAAAGCAGAGATGAATATTCTTGTAGTAATAAAGTGAAGAAGGCTTTTCTAAGCATGGCATAAAACTCTGAGCCTGAGAAATAAAGAATTTAGTAATTTTTCAAAGTTTACACTTATAAGCAAAATTGTAAGACAAAAAGCGAGCTGGGAAAACCTAACTGCTGCATATACTACAAAGGGTTAATATCCTTCAACCACAGGGATTGCTCCCATTGCACGGCACAGGGCATGATACTGTCCACTGCCTCAAAGGATGGCTTTATTCAGTGGGTCCTTCAAGCTGGTGGGGCCCGAGGTTCCAGCTGGGTCTGGTGCATGCCTGGTTGCCTCTCCATCATCAGCCTGCTCACCATACTAGGGCTAGATAACCCGCAGGTCAATTTCACCCAATAGCCAACGACGTGAGGAGTTTTCTAGATATGAGAAGTTTCAAGGGTTATTAAAAGTAAAATATTTTGAACATCTCACCACAGCCAGTTATTTAAAGAACTAAAACTTGTTATAACCACGTCTAAGCAAAGAAATATTTCCATTTATTTTGACCCTGTATCCTTGAGAGTGAAAGTCCTGTGAGAAACATAGAGAAAGGAAAACATAAACTCAGAAGCTCAGTGACAATGTCCGACATTTGTATACCAGGGTGTGCCACATCGTTATGTCAAGGCAAGATTTCTTCCCTCTGGTTCTACTGAGATTGTCAGTTTCCCTTCCTGCCTGTACACAGAGGGCCACAGCCAAAGGGCCAGTCAAATGCTGGTGAGTGGTGCCATCTGGTGTTCAGTTAGAGATCTGCACACAAATGCAGCTGCACTGCAAGGGATGAAACAGGGGCATCTTTGCCTCAGTTTATACCTCCCTTCCATTACTCTGTTGCTCCTGGTTACGTTAAGCCAAAAAGTATTAATTAAAGGATGTAAAATACTTAATTCTTAAGAAGAAAACCTAGACTGTGTGAGGGAAAGGCTGTGCTCCCACAGGTCACTCTCCAAGGGTTCTGGCCAAGCATCCTTAGTGCTCACTAAGGAAGCCGTCATCCATATACAGACTTATCTACTTCTGTTTAAATGCCCAGTCCATACCACCTATCAGCGTACCTGGTTTTCTGCTGTTATTGTTTTTTAATTTGTTGTGTGTTGAGAACTGCCTTTTACTTTTATTTGTCCTAAGACAATCTTTTTTTTTTTTTTTTTTTGAGACTGACTCCTGCTTTCTCATCCAGGTTGGAGTGAAGTGATGTGATTTTGGCTCACTGAAACCTCCGCTTCCCAGGCTCGAAGTGATTCTCCTAACTCCTGAGTAGCTGGGATCACAGGCAACTGCTACCACACCCAGCTATTTTTTGTATTTTTAGTAGAGACAGGGTTTCACCATGTTGGCCAGGCTGGTCTTGAACTCCTGACCTCAAGTGATCTGCCTGCCTTGTCCTCCCAAAGTGCTGGGATTACAGGTGTGAGCCACAGAGCCTGACCCTAAGACAACCTTTTTAAAGCTCCAGTAAACACCTCCTGGTAATAGTGTTCTGGATTTAGGCTAAGAGAAATACACTTAATATACTTTTTTGCTCTATTTTAAAATAATGATCCCCTCTCAGTCTCATCTATCTAGTACAAAGAATGTTAACAGCAAGTTCTCAAAATGCTGACTTCAGTCAGACTTTTCTTCAGAGCTGCACACGCATTTTTCTAGCTGGTTTCACATGAAAACAGGGTACAATTTGGCCAGGTGTGGTGGCTCACACCTATAATCCCAGTACTTTGGGAGGCTGAGGGAGGCAGACCACTTGAGGCTAGGAGTTCAAGACCAGCCTGGCCAACATGGCAAAACCCAGTCTCTACTAAAAATACAAAAATTAGCTGGGCATCATGAAACACACCTGTAATCCCAGCTGCTCGGGAGACTGAGACATGAGAATCACCAGAACCTGGGAGGCAGAGGTCACAGTGAGCCGAGATTGTGCCAATGCACTCCATCTTGGGTGACACAGCAAGACTCTGTCTCAAAAAAAAAAAAAACAAGATATGATTAGTCCAAAGCTGTATGTGATGGCCACACATCCCAATACTCTACCAACATTACCTTTCTTCCTCGTCCTGCTTAATGTAAACACATTACCCAGAAGCTCCACCTTAGTGGAGGCAGATCCAAGATGACTGACTAGGAGCAGCTCTGAAGTGCAGTTCCCAGCGAGAACAATGCAGAGGGAGATGATCACCGCATTTCCAAACAACTTATTACTGCCCACAGACCAGGAGACTCCCGGGCTGAAAAGAGCCACGAGTTTCCAGCACAGCTGTTTCAGCCGACGCAGCAGGTCTCCACACAAAAACTCACACAAATCTGGGTGGCTGTTCCAACTGGTGCCTGGAATGCCTGGGAGACAGAGCCACCCCTTCAACTGAAAAAAAGGGGGCTGAAACACAGAGCCAGGTGATCTGGCAAAGCAGGTCCCACCCCCACAAGACTAGCAGTCTGAAACACTCTGGATTGAGAGTTTCACAGCTAGCACAGCTGGACCTGGGACAGTCCAGCTCTGGTGGGGGAAGGGCGTCTGCCATTACTGAGGCAGATCACCATTACCGAGGAAGTCCACTATTACTGAGGCAGTGTGCCATTACCAAGGTAATTCGCCATTACAGAGGCAGTCCACCATTACCAAGGCAGTTCTAACTATACCTCTATAAACAAAACCACAAGGAAGTTCACCCAGCAGCTAGGTAGAGCCCACAGCAGCTCAGCAATGCCTCTGCTGGCAGACTGTGACTGGGCTACCTCCTTGCTGGGCAGAGCAGCTCTGAAAAAAGGAAGCAGCACGTCAGGAACTTATAAAGCCCCACCTTCCCAGAACAGAGCACCTGGGAAACAAAGGCGGTTATGAGTTTCACTGCAGCAAACTTAAATTTACCTGCCCAGCAACTCTAAACAGAACAACAGAGCTCACAGCTCAGCACTTGAGCTCCTATAAGGGACAGACCGTCTCCTCAGGCAGCTCCCTGACCCCTGTATATCCAAAGAGACACCTCATAAAGAAGAGTTCAGGCTGCAATCTGGCAGGTATCCTTCTGGGACAAAGATAACAGAAGAAGAAACTGGCAACAACCCTTACTGTTCTGCAGCTGCTGCAGGTGATCCCCAGGCAAGCAGGGTCTGGAGTGGACCTCAGCAGTCCTACAGCAGAGATGCCTGACTATTAGAAGGAAACTAAGAAAGAGAAAGAAATAACTTCACGCCAACAAAAAGGACATCTACTCAGAGACCCCATCTGAAAGTCACCAACTACAAAGAACACAGGTAGATAAATCCACAAAGATAGGAAGAAACCACTTAAAAAGGATGAAACACCCAAAACCAGAACAAATCTCCTTCTCCAAGGGATCACAACTCCTCACCAGCAAGGGAACAAAGCTGGATGGAGAATGAGTCTGATGAACAGACAGAAACAGGATTCAGAAGGGGTAATAACAAACTTCTCTGAGCTAAAAGAACATGTTCCAACCCAATGCAAAGAAACTAAGAACCTTGAAAAAATGTTTGACAAAATGCTAACAAGAATAAACAATTTAGAGAGGAATGTAAGTGAATTGATGGAGCTGAAAAACACAATACGAGAACTTTGTGAAGGATACACAAGTTTCAACAGCCAAACTGACCAAGCAGAAGAAAGGATATCACAGACTGAAGATCAACTCAATGAAATAAAAGAAGGCAAGATTAGAGAAAAAAAAGAGTGAAAAGAAATGAACAAAGCCTCCAAGAAATATGGGATTATGTGAAAAGAACTAATCTATGTTTGATAGGTGTAGCTGAATGTGACGGAGAGAATGAATCCAGGCTGGAAAACACTCTTCAGGATATAATCCAGGAGAACTTCCCCAACCTAGCAAGCCAGGCCAATATTCAAGTCCAGGAAATACAGAGAACACCACAAAGATATTCCTCAAGAAGAGCAACCCAAGACACATAATCGTCAAATTCACCAGGGTTGAAATGAAGAAAAAAATGCTAAGGGCAACCAGAGAGACAGGTCGGGTTACCCACAAAGGGAAGCCCATCAGACTCACAGCAGATCTCTCAGCAGAAACCCTACAAGCCAGAGGAGAGTGGGGACCAATATTCAACATCCTTAAAGAAGGGAACCTTCAACCTAGAATTTCATATCCAACCAAACTAAGCTTCATAAGCGAAGGAAAAATAAAATCCTTTAAGAACAGGAAAGTGCTGAGAGATTGTGTCACCACCAGGCCTGCCTTACAAGAGCTCCTGAAAGAAGCACTAAACACAGAAAGGAACAACCAGTATCAGCCACTGTAAAAACGTACCAATTGGTAAAGAGGATCGACTCAATGAAGAAACTGCATCAACTAACGGGCAAAACAGCCAGCTAGCATCAAAATGGCAGGATCAAATTCACACATAACAATATTAACCCTAAATGTAAATGGGCTAAACACCCCATTCAAAAGACACAGACTGCCAAATGGATAAAAAGTCAAAATCCATTGCTGTGCTATATCCAGCAAACCCATCTCACATGCAAGGACACACATAGGGTGTGTCCCTTGTGTGTCCTTGAATATTAGCCTGGCTTGCTAGGTTGGGGAAGTTCTCCTGGATTATATCCTGAAGAGTGTTTTCCAGCCTGGATTCATTCTCTCTGTGACATTTAGGTACATCTATCAAATAAAGGGATGGAGGAAGATTTACCAAACAAATGGAGAGCAAACAAAAAAGCCAGAGTTAGAATCCTAGTCTCTGATAAAATAGACTTTAAACCAACAAAGATCAAAAGAGACAAAGAAGGACATTACATAATAGTAAAAGGATCAATGCAACAAGAAGAGCTAACGATCCGAAATATATACGCACCCAATACAGGAGCACCCAGATATATAAAGCAAGTTCTTAACAACCTACCAAAGAGACTTAGACTCCCAAACCATAACAGTGGGAGACTTTAACACTCCACTGTCCATATTAGACAGAACAATGAGACAGAAAATTAACAAGGATATCCAGGACTTGAACTCAGACCTGGACCAAGCTAACCTAACAGATATTTAGAGAACTCTCCACCCCAAATCCATAGAATATACATTCTTCTCAGCACCACATCACGCCAACTCTAAAACTGACCACATAATTGGAAGTAAATCACTCCTCTACAAATGCTAAAGAATAGAAATCATAACAAACAGTCTCTCAGACCACAGTGCAATAAAGTTAGAACTCAGAATTCAGAAACTAACTCTGAACCGCACAACTTTATGGAAACTGAACAGCTGGCTCTTGAATGTTGACTGGATAAACAATGAAATGAAGGCAGAAATAAAGATGTTCTTCGAAACCAACAAGAACAAAGACACAACGTACCAGAATCTCTGGGACACATTCAAAGCAGTGTCTAGAGGAAAATTTATAGCAATAAATGCCCACACGAGAAGCAAGGAAAGATCTAAAATCGACACCCTATCATCAAAATTGAAAGAGCTAGAGGAGCAAGATCAAAAACACTCAAAAGCTAGTAGAAAACAAGAAATAACTAAGATCAGAGCAGAACTGAAGGATATAGAGACATAAAAAACCCTTCAAAAAAATCAGTAAATCGAGGAGCTGATTTTTTGAAAAGATCAACAAAATAGAGAGACCGCTAGATGGATTAATAAAAAAGAAAAGAGAGAAGAATCAAATAGATGCAATAAAAAACGATAAAGGGGACATCACCACTGATTCCACAGAAATACAAACTACCATCAGAGATTACTACAAACAACTCGATGCACATAAATCAGTAAACCTGGAAGAAATGGATAAATTCCTGGACACTTGCACCCTCCCAAGCCTAAACCAGGAAGAAGCTGAAACCCTGAATAGACCAATAATAAGGGCTGAAGTTGAGGCAGCAATTAATAGCCTACCAACTTAAAAAAGCCCAGGTCCAGATGGATTCACAGCTGTATTCTACCAGACATACAAAGAGGAGCTGGTACCACTCCTTCTGAAACTATTCCAAACAATCTAAAAAGAGGGAATCCTTCCCAAATCATTTTATGACACCAACATCATCCTGATACCAAAACCCAGCAGAGACTCAACAAAAAAAGAAAACTTCAGGCCAATATCCATGATGAACATAGATGCAAAAATCTTCAGTAAAACACTGGCAAGCCGATTGCAACAGCACATCAAAAAGCTTATCCATCACAATCAGGCAGGTTTCATCCCGGGGATGCAAGGCTGGTTCAACATATGCAAGTCTGTAAACATAATTCACCACATAAACAGAACCAAAAACAAAAACCACGATTATCTCAATAGGTGCAGAGAAGGCCTTCGACAAAATTCAACAGCCCTTTATGCTGAAAGCTCTCGATAAACTAGGTATTGATGGAACATATCTCAAAATAGTAAAAGCTATTTACGACAAACCCATAGCCAATATTATACTGAATGGGCAAAAACTGGAAGCATTCCCTTTGAAATCTGGCACTAAACAAGGATGCCCTCTCTCACCACTCCTATTCAATATAGTATTGGAAGTTCTAGCTGCTGCAATTAGGCAGGAAAAAGAAATAAAGGTTATTCAATTAGGAAAGGAGCGAGTCTAGTTGTCTCTATTTGCAGACAACATGATTGTATATCTAGAAGACCCCATCGTCTCAGCCCAAAATCTCCTGAAACTGATAAGCAACTTCAGCAAAGTCTCAGGATACAAAATCAATGTGCAGAAATCACAAGCATTCCTATACACCAGTAACAGACTTAAAGAGCGCCAAATCAAGAACGAGCTGCCATTCACAATTGCTACAAAGAGAATAAAATACCTAGGAATACAAATAACAAGGAATGTAAAGGACCTCTTCAAGGAGAACTACAAACCACTGCTTAAGAAAAGAAGAGAGGACACAAACAGATAGAAAGACATTCTATGCTCATGGTTAGGAAGAATCAATATCATGAAAATGACCATACTACCCAAAGTAATTTACAGATTCAAGGCTACCCCCATCAAGCTACCTATGACCCTCTTCACAGAACTGGAAAAAAACCACCTTAATCTTTATAGGGAACCAAGAGAGGTAGTGGAGGAAACACTACACATTTACAACCATCTGATCTCTGACAAACCTGACAAAAACAAGCAATTGGGAAAGGATTCCCTGTTTAATAAATGGTGTTGGGAAAACTGGCTAGCCATGTGCAGAAAACAGAAACTGGACCCCCTTCCTGACACTACGCTAAAATCTAACTCCAGATAGATTAAAGACTTAAACATAAGACCTAACATCCTAAAAACCCTACAAGAAAATCTAGGCAAAACCATTCAGGACATGGGCATAGCCGGCTCTTCATGACTAAAACACCAAAAGCATTGGCAACAAAAGCCAAAATAGACAAATGGGATCTAATTAAACTCCAGAGCTTCTGCACAGCAAAAGAAACCGTCATTAGAGTGAACCAGCAACCAAGAGAATGGGAAAAAATTTTGCAATCAACCCATCTTTCAAAGGGCTAATATCCAGAATCTACAAAGAACTAAAACAGATTTACAAGAAAAAAACAAACAAACTCATTCAAAAGTGACAAAGGATATGAACAGACACTTTACAAAAGAAGACATTTATGAGGCCAACAAACATATGAAAAAATGCTCATCATCACTGGTCATTAGAGAAATGCAAATGAAAACCACACTGAGATACCATCTCACGCCAGTTAGAATGGCGATCATTAAAAAATCTGGAGACAACAGATGCTGGAGAGGATGTGGAGACACAGGAATACTTTTAAACTGCTGGTGGGAGTGTAAATTAGTTCAACCATTGTGGAAAACAGTGTGGCGATTCCCCAAGGACCTAGAAGTAGAAATTCCCTTTGACCCAGCAATCCCATTACTGGGCATATATCCAAAGGATTATAAATCGCTCTATAAAGATACGTGTACATGTATGTTCACTGTGGCACTATTTACAATAGCAAAGAACTGGAACCAACCCAAATGCCCATTGATGATAGACTGGACAAGGAAAATGTGGCATATATACACCATGGAATATTATGCAGCCATAAAAAACAATGAGCTTGTGTCCTTTGTAGGGACATGGATGAATCTGGAAACCATCGTTCTCAGCAAACTGGCACAAGAACAGAAAATCAAACACCACATGTTCTCACTCACAGGGAGGTGTTGAATAATGAGAACACATGGACACAGGGAAGGGAGCATCACACTCCGGGGTCTGTTGCGGGGGACTGGGGAGGGACAGTGTGGGGTGGGGAGTTGGGAAGGGATAACATGGGGAGAAATGCCAGATATAGGTGATGGGGGGTTGGATGCAGCAAACCACATTGCCATGTAGGTATCTATGCAACAATCCTGCATGTTCTACACATGTACCCTAGAACCTAAAGTGCAATAAAAAAAATATATAAATATATATAAAAGAAATTCCACCTTAGCAACCATTTCCCTACTGAGCACTGACAATGGGCCAAACACCAGACTGAGGCCATCACACACGTTCTCTCTCCAAGTCCTCTAACTCAGGGAAGTTGGAACCACCAACTTCCTGAGCGCTATTCCACATAGAAAATGGAGGAAGGAACCTGCTTATATGCCCTGCCAGGAAATACATCTTATCAGTGCTCTTTCTAAGTTTTCTCCATTCCAATTGCACCCAATTCCACTGCCACTGCCTCAATTCAGGCCCATCACCTGTCACATAAGAGAAAGTTGGCATGTCTGCAATCAGTTGGACCTGGGTTTAAATTCCACCAATGCCACTACATAACCATGGGTCCTCAGATTCCCTTTCTGACCTGTCTCAGTGGTAGTTTCTTCATCTGTCTGGTAAACAGGGATATTGAAATAGATAACAACAAATTACATGAAGGCAAAAGATAATGAGAGGCTAGGTGCAGTGGCTCACACCTATAATCCCAGCACTTCGGGAGGCTGAGACGGCAGGACTGCTTCAGCCCAGGAGACTGAGATCAGCCTGGGTAATACAGTGAGCTTTGTCTCTACCAAAAAAAAAAGTATGTAGTGGGCTTTCAATGGTAGCTATTATTTCAGTGGTCTCTTTGCTTCACTTTCTAATAGGTCCTCCATGGTTCTTCTTTTAATGCAAATTGGATCAAAACTCCTTCAATGGCTTCCTAACACGTACCACAGTGCCTCTGTACGGTAAAGGGCCTGCAGTGGTATGTAAATGATTTTCAGTGTCAGGAGAATATAGTCACTTCATGTGATACAGGCTTACCAGCTCCACTGGACCAGCAGAAAATAATCCACAAATGAAATTTTACAAGAATTCCATTTACAACAGCACTAACAATCATAAACACTGAGAAATAGATTTAACAAAAGATGTATAGGAACTCTGTAATGAAAACTATTAAACAATGCTGAGAGACATTTTTAAAGTCATAAATAAATGCACCATGTTCATGGATTAGAAGCCTCAATATTGACAATTCTCTCCAAATTGATCTATTTAGATTCAATGCAATCCCAACAGGGTCTTCTGTGGAAAATTTAAAAGCTGATTCTACATTTTATTTGTATTTATTTTTGAGTTTGTTTTTATTCTACATTTTATATGGAAATACAAAGATCCCAGAGTAGCCAACACAGTCGTGGAAAAGAATAAGGTCAGAAGACTCACACTACTTTATCTGATTAATTATGTAAAGGCAGGCAAATGCATCAGTGGAACAGATTAGTGACCCCAGAAACAGACTCACATATCCTGGATCAACTGATTTTTTACAAAGATGCCAAGCATTTCAATGGGGAAAGGAAAACCTTCAAAACATGATGCTAAAACAATTGGTAACATGTACAAAAGCAAGTGGATCTCTACCCTACCTTATATACTATGCAAAAGTAATTTGAAGTATAGATAATAGACCTATATGAAACAGGTACTTAAAAAAAAAAAAACAGGCTGAGCGCAGTGGCTCACACCCATAATACTAGCACTTCGGGAGGAGGAGATGGCTGGACTGCCTGAGCTCGGAAGCTCGAGACCACCCTAGGCAAGGTGGTGAAAGCCCGTTTCTACTAAATCACAAAAAAGTTAGTGGTGTGTGCCCTCTAGTGTCAGCTACTTGGGACTACCTGGGAAGCTGAGGCAGGAGAATTGCTTGAACCCAGAAGGCAGAGGCTGTCGTGAGCCAAGACTGTACCATGGCACTCCAGCCTGGGTGACAGCAAAACTCTGTCTCCAAAAATCAACAAAACAAAACTATAGAGCTTCTAGACAGTTCTTAGATATATTTGTGAAACTGGGGCAGGCAAAGATTTCTTGGAGAGAAGACAAAAAGCACAAACCATACAAAAATGATAAACTGGACTTCGAAAAAATTTAAAACATTTGCTTTTCAAAAAACAATTAAGAAATCGCATACCACAGACTGGGAAAAAATATTCACAATACAAATATCTGCCAAAGAACTCGTATAGACTTCCTTTTTTTTTGAGAAGGAGTCTCCCTGTAACCCAGGCTCAAGAGCAGGGGTGCGCTCTCCACTCACTGCAACCTCCGTCTCCTGGATTCAAGTGATTTTCCTGCCTCAGCTTCCCGAGTACCTGGGACTTCAGGTGTGTGCCACCATGTCCAGCTAATTTTTGTTGTTGTTGTTGTTCTTGCTTTTTTTATTTAGTAGAGATGGGGTTTCACCATATTGGCCAGGCTGGTCTCAAACTCCTAACCTCAAGTGATCTGCCCACTTCAGCCTCCCAAAGTGATGGGATTACAGCCATGAGCCACCATGGCCTAGCTTGTATAGAGAATTTATAAAGAATTCTTCTAACTCAGTTTAAAAAAAGACAACAAAAATGTTGAAATAGGCAAAGCTCTCCCAAGTTATACTGTATGATTGATTCCATTTATGTAACAATTTTGAAATGAAAAAATTTTAGAAAGGGAGAACAAGGCCAGGTGTGGTGGCTCATGCCTGTAATCCCAGCACTTTGGGAGGCCGAGGCCGGTCTATCACCAGGTCAAGAGATGGAGACCATCCTTGACAGGGGGTCAGCATGGTGAAACCCCATCTCTACTAAAAATACAAAAAAAATTAGCTGGGCATGGTGGCGCGTGCCTGTAATCCCAGCTACTCAGGAGGCTGAGGCAGAAGAATTGCCTGAACCCAGGAGGCGGAGGCTGCGGTGAGCCGAGATTGCGCCATTGCGCTCCAGCTTGGGTAACAAGAGCGGAAACTCCATCTCAAAAAAAAAAAAAAAAAGAAAGGGAGAACAAATTCCTGATGTCAGGGTGAGGAGGGCAGAAGGGAGGGAAGTGGATATGGTCACAGAAAGGGCAACAGAGGGATCCTGTGATGGAACTCTTCAGTGCCTTGGCTGTAATGGTAGATACATGACTTGATGGGAAAAAGTGCATAGAATTAAATATACACATACACATAAATCAGTTCAAGCAAAACTACCTTTACCAATAACACCGGTGGGTTGTACCAATATTAATATCCTGTTTGTGATATATTTCTAAGTCTTGCAAATGTCACCATTGGGGGAAACTGGATAAAGTCTACAGGCGATTTATCTGTGTTATTCCTTACAACTATGCGTGAATCTAAAACTACTTGATGAAAATTTCAATGCAAAAAAAAAAAAAAGGACAAAAGATTTAAACAGATACTTCAAGATTTTCTGATGGCAAATAAGCACACAAAACAAAGTGGTGCATTTATCAATGAAATTCAACTCCACAATAAAAAAATGAATGAATTACTGATCCGTATTATATAAATATCACAGACATTGTTAAGTAAAAGAAGTCAGACACAGAAGAGTACATTCAGTATGATTTCATTTATATAAAGTTCAAGAACAAGCAAAATATATCTAAAGATAAAAATCAGAACAGTAATTGCTGATGGGGGTGGAGATGGGAGGGGTGGAATTAACTGGAAGGGGACCGATGGGACTTATTGGGGTAATATTTTGACTTGGATCTTGGTTTTATGAGGAGGTACATACATTCTTAAAACTCAACTGGCTGAACTCAAGATTTGTGTCTCTTACTATAAACATAACTAAATTAAGAAAATAGAAATATAAACAGTACTCAGGTATGTCAAGATTGTACGTGGTATTCAAATGCCTTTAACTGCGTGGGGGGATCTAGAATATATAAATTCCGAAGTGCATAAAATATCACACAAAGACTATCACATCCTGACCCCAGCCTTCCTGGCCAGCCTTATCTCCTAAAGTCCCGGATTAAAGATATGTTAAACTATTGACAGATCAATTTTTCCCTGAAAATGCCATATTAATTCATGCCTCAGTACTCTAATGCAATGTATGAATCCATTAAATATGACCCCCCTCTAACGCTTAGGGAATTCCTACTTCACTTTGACTACTCATGACAAGTATCTCCTCTCTCTATAGACTTCTCTGCCCTTCCCAATATCCCACATAAAGGAAAGGAAACTAGCATTTATTGAGGACTAAATATATGTTAGCCATTTTTACCCATTACCTTGTTCTATGATCAGAATTAAAAGGCTGACGAGTTAAGTGAAAGTTCGTGGTCACTGGCTGGCTGACATTATAGGCTACTTGACAGTTGAAGGGAGACTGTGGAGCCATTTACATGGAAATTACTAGAAATCAGACTTCTCAGATTAACTAGGTGCTCAGCAGTTGGGTGTGACAGCCCAAGAGATATGTCACACATACACAAATTTTGTTTGTTTTTTAAAATGACTTTTAAAGAACAATCCTAATACATACCTGGCTGCAACTCTTTCAGGGAGAAAAAAAAAGGCAAGTATAGTTAGATGTTCCTGTGGGGCCCTTACCTGTATTCTTTCTTGCCCTGTGGGAGAAGCAAACCCTGAAGCTCTACCACAACGTCCTCATGCAACAAACAATGAGAAACAGGAATGCTAGAGAAAAGGAAAAAGTTGAAAACATTTTTAGGAGGCCAAGAATAGAGATCAATATCCTAAAGTCGAATCAAAACTATGGGTTTTTACACCAAGAATCTATGTCTGACCTCTACTGGGTTTGCAGTTCCCACACATTATTACGGCTGTGTGGGTTCCTTTGGGAAAGGAGTCCCTAGCTTTCATCTTTACCCACTTTCTCAAAGAAAGCAGGCCGGGCACGGTGGCTCAAGCCTGTAATCCCAGCACTTTGGGAGGCTGAGGCAGGTGGATCATTAAGTCAAGAGATTGAGACCATCCCGGTCAACATGGTGAAACCCCGTCTCTACTAAAGATACAAAAAATTAGCTGGGCATGGTGGTGCGTGCCTGTAATCCCAGCTACTCGGGAGGCTGAGGCAGGAGAATTGCCTGAACCCAGGAGGTGGAGGTTGCGGTGAGCCGAGATCGCGCCATTGCACTCCAGCCTGGGTAACAAGAGCAAAACTCCATCTCAAAAAGAAAAAAAAAGAAAGCATAACTACATTTCTTGATGACTCAAAAGTTTAAAATTCACTGCACTGTGTAACCTCTACATGTGATACCCCTAAGAAGGACATATTTAGGGCTGGCTGTGAGGCCCTGTATAATTTTGCCCAGGCTCTTCCTTCATCCCTTCCCTTCAATGACCTGATAGCTGTCACTTAGTGTTACTCACATGCCTGCCTCTAACAACACCCACTACATGCTTCTGGCTTTGTATAAGGTTTTTAATCACTCCCTTCCACCTTACTACTATCAAACATTTTAAATATATGTAACATCTGAAAGTAAACAGCTTTGAGTGAAGATCTAAAGTACTAAACCCGTGGCACTTTTTTTGGCCTATATATTGGTTATCAGATATATTCCAAATAAATCAAGTTTACCAAATAATTGTCTTCCAATATCACCGTACTAGTTTGTACAGCAAAGCATCTGTGTAGATGGGACCCTAAATAAGAATACTTCTCTTAATGTAAAACCAAATCTTATGCAGCCATGAATGCTTAATTCCTGCAAAACGTAAAAATGCTTCTATTTCACAAAACTTGACCTGGGTACTGTATCTGAGAGGCTCAGTGTAAATCATTTAACTCATGAAACATGAGAAGTTAATACACATGTTGTAAGGTCACTTTTCTAATACTGATATCCATTATGTTCTTTACATCTGACATGGAGGAAAAGAACTTTACCAAGTTCTGCTGAATAGACAACTGCTGGTTAATGTGATGATAGTTTTAAAATCCACATAGAAAATGTAGGCACTTGGTAATGTGAAAACATTAACATTTTACAAAGTATTAACTTTCCTCACTTTAGAGAAGATACTTAACATTTCTGACTCTCTCCTCCCACCTCAGCCTCCTGAGTAGCTGGGACTACAGGCGTGTGCCACAAAGCCCAGACAATTTTTTAAATTTCTCGTAGAGAAGGAGTTTCATCATGTTGCCCAGGCTGGTCTCGAACTGCTGGGCTCATATTCGCTCGCCCTGGCCTCCCAAAGTGCTAGGATTACAGGAGTCAGCCACTCCGTTGTTTCTTCCAGCGCTGATTTCTTTGAATTATCAATTTCACCATTTAGATGCAGAGAATCCTATTTGAAAATAAAAAGGCTACCAACTGATCACTAGAGTGTTTTAAACTCAAACATTAAAAAAACAGTTGGACCTAAAACTAGTGCAAAATAAGGACCAATTATTTTCCACTGTCTGCTGTGTTTCCTTACTCCTTTAAAGGGGGTGGGAATGTCTGGGCACGAGAAGGGAGTCAACACCGGAGCCTCAGATTTACACAAGAGGGAACTGTCGGCCCAGAGAGGGAGAGTAACCAGCCTCAGGTCACACAGGCAGAATTAGCTGGGCGTCTTCCGAACATGCCACGCTGCCCTGGGATTATCAACTGCTTAAAGGGTCTGACACCGCAGACCAGGGCCCCACCACTCCTTGTCCCTGTGGCGCCCGACAGCAGGGAGCCAGCAGCTCCTCTCCGGAAGTCCCGAGCGGCCACAGGGAGTGGGGCCCAGCTCGAGACCTACTCGGTGGCCTGCACGAAGCTGCACGCGTCTGCCCGGCACACGTAGAAGCTCTTTCCTTTATTCGGGCCATCGCGGACGCCGGTCTTGAGAAAGCAGAAAGTCCCTGAGGAGAGGAGAAAGTGAACAACGATTACGCCACGCTACATGGACAGGACCTAGGGGAGGATGAGACCTTGACCCCTTACCGTGCTCCGGACACCTAACTACTTCCATCCCGCTGGGTCCCCCAAGTTTCACAAAGCCCCGCCCCCAGTTCCTGCTTCCGCCTTTTACTCCGCCCTCTTTGTTCAGGAACCAATCATCACTCAGCTCCTGCAGTCTTAATTTCTCCCCCCCCTCAATAATATAATTCTCCGCCCTTCGCCTTCACCCACCTCCAACCAATCACAGCCGCCCTCAGGTCAGGCGGGCGCCGAAATCAAATTCAAAGCGAGGGGGCGTGGAGGTCCCGGCGTCTGCCGGCTGGGGCGTGGCTGAGGCTCGTGGATGCTTAGGAGCTGGCGAGGCTTCCGGAAGAAGGGAAGTTTCGATTTGCGGATCTTGGAAGAGGGAAAGGTAACTCTTGCTTACGTTTAAAACTGAGAGGCGGCCCTAGGGGGAGCGCGTTAGCAGCCGCTGAACGGCCCTGGCTTCGCGGGTGTGTCTGACCCGGGCTGGCGCTGGTCCGCGTTGAGCTCCGCGCTCCGTCGCTGGGGTGCGAGGCCGGGGAGAGCCGGCGCTGCGGGCCGAGCCGCGAGATTTGCGGTGCAGAAACCGCGGCGGCGGGGCTGGTGGAAGGGCCTTGGAAGCTGCTGCGGTGAACTGAAAAGGCTCTCACATGCGGGCACGACGACTTCTCGAGGAGCCGCTACAGTGCTTTTCAGTTTGCCTCTTGCTGTAAATTTCACAAAGTGATTACGCCTACACGGCTCTCCTCACTCAGTTCAGCGTTTTATGGAAGATCCCGAGACTCGAAGAAGTTTGAGAGACTCATCCAAGGTCAAAGAGTTGGCGAGTGGGCGGTCCTCGGACAGGTGCGCCGGTCTCAGCGCCGTTTGGCCGCGCAGCTGCTTCCTGTGTGTGCTGGATGTTCTTTGGGCTCGTCCAGCGTGGAAGCCCCAAGTTACAAGCCTCAACGTGGAAACCACGGAGGGGGAAATAGATGACTTTTGGTGAAGGCGAATTTTGCTTTCTCATTTTGTATTGTCAGACTTTTTTTTTTTTTTTTTTTTACTAATTAATATGCTTTTGTAATTTTAAAAATCGAGGATGAAGTTACATAGAAGGGAACTGCCCCCTTCTATGTAACTTCATCCTCGATTTTTAAAATTTGAAGATGTAATCAAAACTATTAGTAAACAAAAAGGGAGAAATAGATACTAGATTTATTGCAATAGAAATAGTTTCATATTACAAGCTATTGAGGACCATATGTCCCAGACACATGGCATGGCACCTGCAACGTTCTTATGGGGGCCGTAGAACAGAAAATCTGTAATGTCTAGAAAATCTGGGCAACGTGATGAAGGTAGATGTTACGGGGATCTGGAGGAAGGGAGACGAAACTGAGGTATCATTTATTAATTAAACGGTACCTATTAAATACATTTTTTATGCTCAATGTGGACTAGGTGCTTGAGAAATATAAAATATTCATTTATACACACAAAGTTTGAAACAACTATTCTAACCACAAGAAACTTAGTATTTTGAGAATTCTGAACTAGTGCATATTGAACACTTAAATAACAACATAAAATAGTATTTAAATGTCAAAATGAATGGAGTTAGCAGTAACTCTCTAAGACTAGAGAAAAACGGAATTTCCAAGTGGAGTTCATTTATACATAACTCCCCTTCTGAAACTTAGAGGAACTTAGAGATAAAACGGGGACAAAGAACAAATAGGTAGAGGCGTTTTCATTATTCCGAGATTGTTATTCTTGCAACTGATGTATGTGCGTGTTTAACAGATGCTGTATTGGAAGTCGTACACCATGAATACGGGATTTGCAGGAAGCGGGGCATGGTAATGAATTCTTTCTTGAATACTTTTTAAAACAAGGGAAAATCAGGACCTCTTAAATAGCCCATTAAGGAAGAAGCTCCTCTGCAAGCACCCAAGTCAGTGTCTCCAGTCCAGCCCCGCAAAAGTATGCATGGCCAAATCACAGACAGGAGGAATTTTTCTTCCGTAAATTTAGGATATAGTAAATCAAAATGTTAAGTCCCTGGACAACTTATTCCACCTGATCATATTTACAAGATTGAAAAAAATAAGTTTGAGATTGGATGAAAGATGATAACTGGAAACATTTTAAAAATTCATTTTGATGCCTGTTGAGTGTGGTGGTGGCACTTGAGGTCCTAGCTACTCAGGAGACTGAGGTGGGAGGATGGCTTGAGCCCAGGAGTTCGAGGCTACAGTGATTGCACCACTGTACCCCAGCCTTGGTGACAGAGTGAGACTTTGTCTCTTAAAAACTTATGGCTATTGAAATAAACTATAATGAAGTACACAATATACAGTTTTCAAAATATGTGTATTCATATATGTGCATTATTTTTTATTCTTAATTTATATTTTAAATTAAGCCTACCGACCCCTGGAGAGACCTTGGGAGAAGGTGCTTTATGGATCTCTATTTTGAGTAAAGTTTAGAGTTTGTTTTTCCTTAAAGCTTGATTTATTCAAAATAGTGTCTAGGCTGGGTCCTAGATCTAGATGGTTTAAAATGCACAGGCTAATTATCCAATAAATTATTTCAGTTTGGGGCTGGTCAAATGCTAAGTATAGGTTGGAACTATTCTAAAACTGGATTGTGGTAATGGGCAGACAATGGATTAAACTTACTAAGACTCATCGAATTTTACACTTTAAATAGATGAATTCTATGACATCTAAATTATACTTTAATAAGGCTGCCTTAAAAACTATGTAAGCAATGACAAAATATCTGCTGCATGGAAAGTAATAATTAAAATTCATTATCTAGATAGGTTGACATCCTAAAGAAATATCCTAATGGGTGAAGAAATAAAATGGTTATAGAAACCCTTCAGTTACAGAAGCAAACTGGTTCTCTGACCTGTGAAATGCTGAATAAAATCCAGGGTGGGCCAGGCAAGGTAGCTTATGCCTGTAATCCCAGTACTTTGGGAGGCTGAGTTGGGCGGATCGCTTGAACCCAGGAGTTTGGGACCAACCTGGGCACCATGGTGAAACTCCAACTATGCAAAAAATACAGAAATTATTCGGGCTTGGTGGAGCATACCTGTGGTCCCAGCTACTTGGGAGGCTGAGTTGGGAGGACCACCTGAGTCCGGGGAGGTCAAGGCTTCAGTGAGCCCCAATCGAACCACTGTGCTCTAGCCTGGACGACAGAGTGAGCCCCTATCTCAAAATAAAATATAATTCCAGGGTAGTACAGATACTCATTTTATTTTATTTATTTTGCTTTCTTTCTTTTTTTTTTTTTTTTTTTTTTTTTTTGAGATAGTGTCTTGCTGTGTCACCCAGACTGGAGGACAGTGGTATCATCATAGCTCACTGTAGCTCAACCTCTTGAGCTCAAGCATTCCTTCCACCTCACTCTCTAGAGCAGCTGGGACCACAGGTGTGTGTCACCACACCTAGCTAATTACTTTATTTTTATTTTCTGTAGAGAGGAGGTCTTGCTGTGTTTCCCAAGCTAGTCTCACACTACTGGGCTCAAGCAATCTTCCTGCAAGCCTCCCAAAGTGCTGAGATTACAGGTATGAGCCACCACACCCAGGAACAAGTCCCGCCCCACAAAAGTGGGGCTTAATTCTTGGGAAAATGAAAGAAGTAAACTTTCTCTGGTCAGCATTGTGCTGGCTGGCATACATTAAACACGTCAGACCTCCATAAGACACCAGTGGTGAGAGGATGAGCTAGAACAGTCACCTTTTGACATCTCTGTCACTACCTTATTGTTTTAAAATAATCAGCAATTCCAAATTTCAAATGATTTGTAAAATGCCAGTTGCTATGCTTTATTATTTTTTAAATTGTTCAAATTTATATTTCAAATCAGCTGATCATTCTAAGAATATTTGGTTTTCTGAACTGACGGTGTTTTTGCTTGTTGCTTTAGGATAGGATGGGAAGGAGTAACTAATTTTAATTGGCAAATAAGGGATTGTTCCCCATTAGGCACATTCTGAGAGGAAAAGTCATATTCTAAGTTTTCCTGAGGTGTGTTCTGAGATAGTACTTGTATATGCAATTGTCACAACTCTCCTAAGGGTGGGATTCTTTTATCCCCGTTTTCAAGATTAAGATACTAGAGTTTAGAGCAGTTAAAGAGCTAGCCCCACGGCCGTGCTCCTAACTACCAACTTACAGAGCTGCTCCCAAAACTTTGGAACCAGATAGTGCCCATGGATTAATTTTGACCTGGCTCAAAGTCACAAAGCTGACACCAGCTGATCAGGGACTAAAAGCCATTTTCAAAACTTTCAATCCAGTTCTTGCCACTGTTGTATTTTTATAAAGCATAAATTATTCAGAGATGCATTCATATGTTTAACCTCCACATCGCTAAGCCTTTAGGTATTTGCTGTGATGTACAGACAAGGCTCAACACCCAAAACCTAAAATGCAATTAAAAAAAAAAGGCTCCTGCCATTTTATAAATGACCACTAGGCAGCAGCATATTAACATAAAAACCAAACTGAGGCCCACCCTCTTCTGTTTCATTCTTTTTGTTTAAAGAGGTGTAATGGTAATTCCATTTGATTTTATTTTGTGCCTTTCAAACATGCAACTGTTTTAAACTTGTCCTTGACATAGGCTCAATCAGGATGATACTGTAGTGGGAACTAAAGTCGTTATAATTTGTAAAGCCAGGAGACTTTATAAATTCTTTTGTTGTACCAATATTTTTTGAATACTGGATTTCAAATTTCACTATTCTTCAAATATTATAAGTGGTTCAAAGCAGGCTCTTTAACTTCTTCCTCCTCTTCTTCTTCTTTTTTGTAAATGTACAATTCCCTTTTTTTTTTTTTTTAGATGGAGTCTTGCTCTGTTACCCAGGCTGGAGCGCAATGGCGTGATCATCTCGGCTCACTGCAGCCTCTGCCACCTGGGTTCAAGTGATTCTCCTGCCTCAGCCTCCCGAGTACCTGGGATTATAGGCTCATGCCACTATGCACAACTACTTTTTGTGTTTTTACTAGATATGGGTTTCACCATGTTGGCCGGGCTGGTCTTGAACTCAGGTGATCCGTTCACCTCGACCCCAAAATG